ATGTGCAGAAGGGGGTTTGCAGAACAGCTGTAAGGCCAGCACAGGCTTCTGGCAGCACAGTTGGGTCAGGTCACTCTGCACCTCTGAGCAAGGTGTATTTTAAAAGGCAGTCGTGTTAGAAGTGACAAAACTGGACAGTGCAGCACACCAAAAATTTGTGTAAGTTTTCATGACATTGTGAAGCAATGGAACAATCGTCACATGATCAGGAAAACCACATCCTTGACATGTATAAATCCTACCGCAAATGAGACATTGTGATTTTCATGTGGAAAATATGCTCTGCAGAACAAACCTATGTTAAATATAATAAAAATTGCAGTGATTTCTCATCTTAATAACAGTGTGCACTTTTTCATTGTATATCCAAGTGGCTTCATAGAATGATACATTTGTACGTAGCCATAGACTTGGAGTGAGAAAGCCCATACAACCTCTGAGCTATATTGCCTGTGTAAAATTCAGACTGAGGAAGCACAGGTTGCAGAAGGGCTCTGCCATGTAGCCGTCAATTTTCTCTGACCTGTGCGTGGCTCAGTGGTATTTTCTTACAGCGATTCATCATGGTAACGCTCTGCAGCAATATTGAAGAGCTCCATCCTCACGGTATCAAAGACCATGAAGATGATCAGATTCCGAATGTTCTGCACCCTTGCCTGGAAGACCTATCCACAAGATGTTACTGTTTCATGTTGTGATGCTGTCCTGCTGAAAAAAAAACACAGAGAACTGAGGGAGATGAAACAGTTTGGAGAAGGGGACATATTAAAATGCTCTGGTAGATAAGGCAGTTTTGACTTACCCACAGATACTGGTAGCACAGACAAGCCAAGGTGTGACAGCAGCAAACCACAATGAGCAGCACATGTAAGTGCTGCTATGTGTCATAGGCTGTGATGGAGTGATGCAAAGGAAAGCCCCTTTCTTCTCCTCCTCCTCCTCCCCCTCCCAAGGGCCGGCACAACTGCCCAAGCCTCTGCAGGCTCTGACAAGCAGAAGCTAATTTTAGTAGCCAGGCCATATGGCTTCTGCTATGGCCAAAAAAAGTCTGTACCGCCCATATGTAAAGTCAAGAAGAGAAGCAGCACACCCAGAGTCAAATATAAAATGAGTAATGCTATTCTTCCTCTACATCTGTATTTTTAGCTTGATACAGATTAATGCAGCTGAAGCTCATCTTTCCTCCTGTCTCCTTCCTCCTTTTTGTACTACAGAACGTAAGGATTAAAACCAGAGCAATCCACTGCATGTTAAGAAAAACCCCAGATTGATGTCAGCATTTTAGTCAGGCTTTGGAACAGGCTGCCCAGAGAACTGGTGGAATCACTATCCCTGGAAGTGTTTAAAAACACATGTAGATGCCCTCAGTGACATGGCTTAGTGGTGGACTTGGCAGTGCGGAGGTAACAGTTGGCTTTTTAGGATCTTAAAGATCTTTTCCAACTGAGTTGATTCTGTCATTCTATGATTTCATAAATGTGCTCAAATGTACAGACAAACTGTGTTCCTGAAATTTAATTCTGCACATACATATATGACTGGTTCCTGTGACTTCTTTTTCAAAACCAGTATTTTATGTGTTTTGGGCTTTTTTACTGATAGTTTCTAGGCATGGAAATTCTTCCTGTCATTGTGGGCAAGAAAGGGAATTAACTAGAAACATGCTGCTGATAGTCAACTAATAATCAACATCAAGAAGAAAAGCAACAATTAGTCAAACAAGAATATTATTAGCCAACAAGCTAGTAACAGTATTAGCTGGACAGGACTGTTTGCTAACATTTATGATGGACTTTTTTCAAACAAACAAAAAAAAAAAAAAAGAGTAAGCCAAGAGCCACCAATTCCTTGCTGACTCTATCCATTCTGGGTTTTATTTCTCCCCTTCTTTTTACATTGCTTTGTAATTCAGATGCATTAAAACCTATTCAACAGGGTTGTCAATTACCAAAATTATAAATATTAAAATCTTGACTATTATTCATTTCAGCCACTTTCTGTTACTTGTTGTTGTGGTTTAACCCCAGCCAGACAGCTTGTTCACCCACTCCCCCCCCTTCTTGCCCTCCCCCTACTCCTGGAGGGACGGAGAGAAGAATCAGAAAGAATGAACTCCCACGGGTTGAGATAAGAACAGTTTAGTACTAAGGTATAACACAAATCACTACTGCTACCACCAATAATAATAGTGATAAAGGAAATAACAAGGGAAGAGAATACAACACCTCATCACCAGGTGACTGATAACTCGCCCCCCCCACCCCGACCAATCACCAACCGATACCTCCTCCAACCCTGCCGTTCACTTAGCCCTTCTGGGTAACTCCCAGTTACATCCTGGGCATGATGTTCTGTGGTATGGAATACCTCTTTGGTCAGTTTGGGTCAGGTGTCCTGTCTCTGCTTCCTCCCGGCTTCCCCTTCTCCCTGGCAGAGCATGAGGCTCACCAAGTCCTTGGCCAAACCAAAACATCATTTTTATCAGCTCTGTTCTCAGCCCAAAAGTCAAAACACAGCACTGCACCAGCTACCAAGAAAGAGAAAAATGACTGCTACTGCTGAACCCAGGACACTTGTTTATAACAACATGAAAATGTTCTGCAAGCTTATTCATAGTAGTTAGAGAAGCATAAATGTTTTGCTGGTGGTGAGTTAAGCAGGAGTTTGGCAGTACTGCTCTGCTCACCAGCTGCAGCAGGTGTGCTCTCCTGTGCTATATTCTGTGTGGACAGAATAACAATTACTGCCAATGAAAATACAGAAAGCACAGGGGGTTGTGCAGTACATTTAAATTACAATACTGAAACCCTTTCAAGGGCCACGCAGCTAATGTACATGGAAACTAAGCCCTTTGAAACATGCACTCATGCCCTTACACAAGGCCCAGAGTTTTGCTTCTGCATGATTCTCAGAGGGCTTCCTCACTCCAAACCTCTTCACCTGCTATGGCTGCAGCCATTTCAGTTCTTTTCAGTCCAAGATAGCATCTCAAAGAGACTGAGAAAGAGAACAGCAAAGCATGATGTGCTGAGAATAGTATCATGTTGTGATGACTAATGGGATGGCCACTGATGCTGGGTCACACCAGGCCCTCATGCTGCCACAAGCCCTTTCCAAGACTTGTAAGGAAAATGCAGGCATTCGATCACCCAGCAGTTAAAGAAAACACCACCAGGAACTTCTAAAAAGATCTTCCTACTGCCAGGCAACAAAGGACAGATTCAGGTCCAGAAAGAAGGAAGACCTCTATAAGCTCAGTTTTCCAGGTGGAAGGCAGAAATTGACATCACTTTAGCAAGAAATTCAAAGCAAAGCCAAAGGGATAAGCTGATTTTGAAGATGACGAGATGCTAAGAGGACTGCCCACAACAACCCGAAGGTCTGCAGGTGACTGCTGTAACAGCCACAAAGTGCTACCTTTGAGGGCAAGGAGGATCCAGTGGCTTGAAGGAAGACCTAGGAACATACAGTAGTCAGTCCCCTTGAGGAAGGGATACAGTTGCAGGTGTTAGAAAAAAATTGCAGGACAGGATAGGAAGCTGCTAACTAAATATTTAAATGTTATTTTAAATAGTATCAGACTGGAAGACCCCACCAGTGTAATCCACACTGCCAGCAGCTTGGCTTCCACACATACAACAGCAAACTGTTGAATTTTCGAGTGCCAAGGTCAGGAAATGCTATTTGCAGCCAAACCCATGAATATTACTGGCAGGTAGAGCAGGTATTCAAGCAATAGTTGAACACACACTCAACAGAGTGTTTGCTCTGCCTCTCAGGGATTTACCTTTTTTCCTGAGAATCAGCCAAAATCTTCAGAAAAAGCCAAAATTTCATAAACTTGTATTTAAAAGAATTTTACTTTTTTTTCCCCCCACAGTTCAGCTACACTGTGTAACTTACAAATGGAGTAGAAGAAATACAATGGTGTTAATTGATCACAAAATGGATCTTTCCATAGTTATTTTATTGTTCCATGCTTATGTCCAAAATCCTAATCTCATTGTAACATAATCAGCAGTGAGATGGATTGCTAAGATTAGTCTATGTGAAAATGAGACATTAAGGTGTTTACTAGCTAAGGATCAAAGATATTTAGAAAGCCGCTTTGAAATGTAGTTTTTAAAGGATGCATTTGTTTGCTAAATAGTTCTTAGTGGCAGCTGGACTAAAAACCAAAGAGGAAGGGATTTCCCTTCAAATACAAAGCTTTAAGGCTTCAATTGCAGCCTTAACCATGCATACACAGAAAAGGGATTTATTTTCATCTTCAATACAAATATACTCCATAGAAAGGAAGAAAATGGTGTCAAAAAAGCAACACTTGTGGCATGAGAAGTTCGTGTGGTTTCTCAAGTGCAAGGCACAATGTGTGCTGACAACTTCGGTGATGCAGGGCACAAGATGAGTCACTGCTGTGCTAGTCACAGCAGCTCATTTCTTCACTGGTAACTTGCAGAAAAGCTAAGAAAATTCCAACCCCCAAACTTCTTTTTTTAAGTCATAGGGAAAGCATCGAGCAGTCAGTATGTGATAGTGCACAACTGCAGCATCGTACTTAATTCTGCAAAGATAACTTCATAATGAACAAATCAAAGTTCAAAAAAAGGGGAAAGGCATTAAGTGTTACTTTACTGGTAGTCTTGGAATTCAGCTTGTAACCAGCTTTTAAGCATTTCAGGATTCATAAATACGTGGCAGAGAAGGAACTCAGTGTAAGCTCACATAAATTTATGATGACCAGACAGTATTATGGTTGCACATTACAGTATTTTAAGATGAAACCACCAGAACATTTATTGTAAAGTTAAAGTTATATGATTATCAGCAAGATTTTCTTAGATGTTATAACAAGCTTTACTGTACTTTTTAATGCTCTTACAGCATCAAGACGCCATCAAGCCTTTGAAGTACACAAGTTGTATTTCTCCATTTTGAGAGAAAAGGTGAAAAGTCTAAATAGGGGTTTGCTGTGGGAAGGTTTGGGGCTCTTCCCCCCCCCCCCCCCTTCACTGGTTTGTTCTCACTGTCTACCCTTCTCATGATCCATTTACATAAAAACTGATCTAGTACGTTGAAAAACTGGAGGTACTTACTCAAACTCCCGCAGCATGCAGTCAGAAGCCAGCTGAGTAGTCTGGACTGGAGTGGGGAATGTCATCCAGAATACGATCTCTCCAGAATACGACAGACATAGACATACTGGACTGAGGGCAGCAGAAGTCCACCAAGGTGAATAAAGAGCTGGAGCACATGATGGAAAGGACAAGAACTGTGCTGCTTAGGCCCTAGGTGCATGAAATGTTGGAAAGAGCTTCCTGCTGTCTTCAACTACCTAACAGGAGGTTGTGGAGAAGACACTTCTTGGAGACACAACAGTGGGATGAGAGGCAATGGACATAAACTGGAACATGGGAAATTCCAATTAAATACAGGAAACACTTTTATCACTGCAAATATGGTCAAACAATGGAACTGATGGCCTAGAGGGGTTGTGTATCTTCATCCCTCAATGCATTCAAAACTCAGTCAGACCACAACAACATGATCTAGGCACACCTGCTTTGAGGAAAATGGTGGACCAGGTGGCCTCTGGCAGCCCCTTCCAGTTTGATTTATTCTATCGTTCTATGCACTGAGCTTTTATGCCAGTGACTCTCTGGGCAGTCATATAAGCCAAGCATGTACAAAGACCTTTCGTTCTGCTTTTAAATTCAAATTAATTTTTGAATTTTTCATTTGTTAAAACACAAAATATCAATGTAAATCACATTTATTTTTAAAAAAGGACACTTTAAAACCACAGTGACAACTGAGCACATTCCTTTAAGTACCAGTTGTATTTTATCTGGTTTTTAACGCACTAGTACACTATGTGAGACATGACCAGTAGCCAAACTTGAAAATGCAAAGCATATACTCTGGCATGGTATTTTATAAAGATGCCAAATCTTTTTTATTAGCAGCCAGTCAGTCAATGAAAATAATTTGTACACATCTAATTTAGTCAGCGAAAATAGCCATACAACTTTAACTCAATATGCTCCATTTATGTAGCTCATTATGCTCTGAAGTGATTCAAGTCCCCACAAAAAACAGTTACCAGCTTTAACATATATAAAAAGTAACATCACATTCCGCTTTCTGAAATACAAAAAAATAACACTTTAAATATACACTGGCTCCTAAGCTTATGGAATCCTGTCAGGAAGAGAAATTTGTTGTCCAACAATGTCTTCAACATCAAGAGCTCTTCAAAGTGCTTGACAGAGTTTGAAAGCACTATCCCCACTTACTAGATGATGAAATAAGGCACAGAGGTTAACTACCTTGCCCACAGTCACACAGGGAGTGAGTGGTAAAGCTAACAGAGCAGAATTTGGGCTATTCAGTTGTCCAGTGTAACCACCACATCTCATTGCCACTATTAAAGTCTAATGACTTAAGCATTTCTGAGGAGCAAAACTTGTATAGCACACAGTAAACAGGAGGGGTCATCCTGGGCCAGTCAAAGGCTGCAAAAATTTCAACCCAAACCAAACAAATTTGGTAGTCAGTAAATCAAAATGCACTTCAGGGAATGATAACATAGAAAATTATACATTAGCCTGCAGAGAAAAAGCTCATTAAACATAAGATATATGATGTTAGCTTTGCAGAAAGTACTGATTATCTTAAGCTTGACAGTAGTTTAGGTAATTCTGACTTCATCAGAGAAGTCTTACTTTCTGATCAGCAGACATCTTGCACACTGTTCTTCTACCAGCTAGGTATGCTTCTCTTAAGAGTCACACAGGAATGTGACTAAGGGGCCAAATAGCTCCTCAGCAGGCATGGATGAGGCACAAAACCCCACACCGATCACGTGTGAGGTGTGGACTAAGTGGTATAGAAACACCAATCTGGAAAAATAAAAGAAGTCCCAAATAAATAAGGTTAAAAAAGCCTGAAAGTCACCCATCAAAATCACCAAGAAATGCATCTTCAGATAGATTATGCTGTAGAAACGACAGTGCAATATGTGTTATCACTGCTTGGATGAGAAGCAATGCTACAGCCCAGCCCTCTGATGACAACCGTTTCAGAAAGCCTCTCCTTGAACAGGATGCTCATGAGATGACTCATTTACTGACAGAGACTGCTGATGTGATTCAGAAATATGTACACGTTGATTCTGTTCTTCACTGTTTTGATGGGAAGGAACCGTATCTTGGCTAGAGTGAGAATGTTGACTTGACTCCTTAGTCAGCTGCACATGCGGAGCTGGATGTGAAGATTCTGCTAAGTGGATTCCTTCATTTTGTCCTTGATGAGCATGGAATTGTTCTAGTGCTTCCTTTGAAAGAGTGAAGACATGCATTTGTTCAGGCGGGGCAGCCTCTATTTGGTTTGCAATCATATTGATACTTTGGATTTGTTCCACTTGCTCCTGCTGCGCTGACAGCAACAAGTTTTGCAGCTGCTGTGGTGGCTGAGCAAGCAGCGTGAGGTTAGCAGCCTGCTCTGTTGTCATATTTGAGGCATTTTCTGCAGTGACAATACTAATGCCTTGATTATGACTAGGCAAGAAGTTTATATTATGTACTGCATCTGTAACCAATAGCTGAATTTCCTGCCCTGCAGAGGTGGCAAGTTGATACTGCTGCAGCTGAAGAATGTTTCTCACTTCTTCTGAACTAGTGTTGGTGGTTGAGGCAGCACTGGCTTCCTGAAACTGCTTTTCCTTGCTATGAATTTTCAAATGAGCCTTCAGGTTGTCCAGACGAGCAAACTGTAAACTACATTCTGGGCAGGAGAAAGGCTTTTTGCCTGTGTGTAAGATACAGTGTCTTCTCTTGGCACTGGAATCGGAGAAGGACTTTCCACATATACCACAAGAATATGGCTTTTCTCCTCTGCAAAACAATGTATTGATCTCATTAAAACATTCACTTGGACAATGCTTTCTGCAACTCATTACAGAATAAAAAGCTTAAACTATTATTTTATTTTGCTGAGTCATAAGCACTTAAGAATTGTGACATAAAAAACATTCTCTAGTTCACTTCCTAATTATTTCTACTGGACTTCACAAACTGTAGACACTTCCATTAGCATATACTCAAGAACTACAGAGATAACATAACTGCCCTCCTGTTACAATATCAGAGCTACAAACTCTTGTTACACACATCATGGCTACTGTTCTGCTGTCAAACATAAACTCACAGTAACATTTTCACATAAATAGTATAATAGTAAGTACATTGTCATTAAACAGACACAGTACACCAACGAAGAACCTTACAGTGTCCTGGCACACTAGTATTTAACAGTGAAGTGCTTTCCACTACCATTTCTTTAAACAGATCAAGGAAAAAATTTTAAATAGATTTATCAAATATACACCCAAAACGCAAACCAGCCCTGACCATTCTACAACTGAACAAGCACTCCACAGGGGTATCAGATTAGAAGTTACTTTTTTAAAGAATGTAATAAATGTTAGACATACTTTACCTGTGAATTCGAATGTGAGTCTGAAGAGAACTTTTAGCTGTAAATGATTTGCCACAAATTTCACAAGTGAAGGGCTTCTCACCTACCAAAAGAGGTCTGTCATCACTTTTTTTTTATATAGCACTTCCCATCAATGTATTAAAAAATATTTTCTATTTTACCATACACAGTATCAAGTGTGTACTGGCAAATCATCACACTTCTGCCACGGGTCAGGACAGATACCCAAAACCGAATGAACTCGCTAGTTAAATAAGGGTACAGTATTTTAAACATACATCTCTGATGTTTCTCCCCTTTGTAGATACTCAAGAGTAACAAAACCTGTATCTATGATAAAGGTGCAGGTGTTCCACATGGAACAGACAAGTTAGAAAAAGACTGACCCTGAACTAGTAGGCATTAATGCTAAACTCATGTGCAGCACCATGCAGATGAGTAAGCCCAAGTTTCCAAACCTGAAAGTGAATCCGTTATCTTAACAAATTGGCTGGCTTCCTATAAGGCTTCATCATCCCAGGTCTATGATATCCTGGCAACACTAGTCAGAGAAAAATTAAATTATGGTGGGTTGAATAAATTCTGTTTGGTTGGTTTGGATTTTTTTTTTTTACTGCATTTAAAATTCTTGTGTCTAATTGAGTAGAAGCAGAGGAGCCAAATTAAATAACAGAAAGGTTCACAAGAAACAGATACTACCCAACCAGAGCAAATCCTAATCCACACCATAACATATCTAGTTCCAGCATCTTACTGAAAACAAGAGTAACTTCCTAAGTAGACTGTATTCACATGACACGGTGTTACGAAGGTGCTGCCATAGCAGAACAGTCATATCAATGCTAAAATAAAATCATAGCACAGTCAGCACTGGAAAGGACCTTAAGATCATCTATAGTTCCAACCCCCCTGCCATGGGCAGGGATATCTGTCCCCCGAACCCCTTAGAATTTTACTTCTTACTTTTGAGATGGGACAGATCAATTGCTGTTTCTGCAATGTTAATACTGGTGTGTGGCCTCTCTTTTCTGGAAACAGAATACATTGCAAAGGAGTTTCTGCTAGAACTCATCTCAATTTACCTATTTTTGCAGTGTATTTTGCTAGTATGCTTCCCCTTCTCATTTCTCACCACCAAACTGATTTCCTACTGCACTTACAGAGCTGTACCAGCTTCAGATACAAAACTATTGTGTGTGTCAACAAACACCATGTTCTCAATAGAAAATGCAGTATTTCTAAGTATCAAAACGCTATTCTGGACACACTAAAAACTTACAAAAGCACAAGTTTTGACCTCGTTACACCCCAGAGAATTTAAAGCTGGGTTATTTTCACTGAGAGAAGGAAATGAATGAGATACATAACTCAATGTTGTGTGTATGTTATAACCACAGGCAACATGCTTTAGAACAATTTGATTTGGAGAAAAACCCAATCACCACTGTTTATAGCTATTTTAAAAGAAATAAAAAATATTCACATGTCATTTTATGAACTTACCCTTCACAAAAAAGTTATTTCAAGAAGCTTATGCTTTGTTATCACAAGAGGGTAGATCAACATATTTATCCCTGTTATCCAGCCATTTTGGTATCACCTTGCCCTCTAAATCTCTCAGAACACCCTCTGACGCACTTGCATTAAATGATCCCTCCCAGCACATCACGTCTGGTTTATTACAGTGCAATGAAAAGATAAAAGGAAATTACCGTTCTGGCAGCAGCACTTTTCATAAGCACAGATCCCTCACACACAGAGATGCCCAACTCATTTAAGACATACACTTTCTGTTACTAGTTAGCTCACTTCAAACCCCTGGACATGCTGGACAAGCCCCAAGACATACGCTGGATGTGTCTCTACTGATAGAAACTGAATTTCCAGTCCAGGATTCTACCACAGGAGAACCCGCATTTTCTGCAGGCTGGGGAAAAAACCCCACTACTTCCTACAATAGATACTACTTCTGCACTATTGCAATACCAAGTTTTTTGTGCTCCTGCATTCTAGATCTTCATCAGCAATACTGGCATCATGATGTACAAGTAGAGCAGAAGTTCCTCCCACAGAGACAAGGGTCATTTGCCCAACATTTTCTTCAAGTCTCCATTACTTCAAGAAAAAACAAAACCCGCAAAATATGACGGACAATATTACCTGTATGTGTTCTTAAGTGTTTCTTTAACTGAGCTGCATCCATGAATTTACGACGACACTGGTTACATTCCGGCAGCGAATGGCCTTGTCGCAATAACAAAAAAAGTGTCAGTGCATAAGTGATCCCCTGTATCTCTTCAGTGACCTTTGTTAAAGCACTTTCCTGTAAAATAACCACTTCGATATAATATAGAGAAAAAACAAAAGGTGATACACTGCCTCCTCTCTATCTTAACTGCCACACTCTTATTCCTCTATTAAATATCATCATGGGAAAAGAGGGGCTGGCACCTGATCCCCCCCAAAACACGCTTTCTCTTAAGTTTTGTAAATTCTGGTTTTTTCCCACTACTTCCTGTGTGTGTAGCTTAATCTCCATCATGCTCCAGAAGCGAGGACACTTCTTAAAAGCTTGTTTGCCGTTACTAGTCCAAGGTAGTGGGAAACTACAGAGCAATTTGCACAACAGGCAGCGGACACAATTGTTTATACAACTCCTAGCTTCTGTGTAACACAGACAGCTGGGCTAAAGCAATCAAGCTGTATGTTAAAACCAGCCTAACTGATTTTTAGTCATCATAAGAGTCCTTCTCCATTAACTCTTTTTCTAAACATTCAATGTATTACATGCCATTTTGTCTCTTTCCTCCTATTCATTGTTACATCAAGACACCACACACCAGGGTAGCATCACTGAAGAATTTTCAGCCTTAGTCAATCTTAGGAGGACAAATCAGCATGGACTGTAAGCCAGCAGTGTAACCCAAACTTGTTATACCTGTGTGTACTCGATAGTGGCTCTTGAGCTGTCTCTTTTGGCTGAAGTATTTCCCACACTGATCGCACGTAAACGCCTTCTGCCCTGTAAAGAAGATCACTTATTAAAAAGCCAGCCACATTCAAAGCAAGCATAAGGAAATAAATAAATAAGCCAGCACACACAAGTGAGAGCAGAAATACTTTTTTTCAGAAAGGCAGATTGCTGGGGGAGAGAGGTTCCATTCACCTTGAAATATTTACCTGTATGCAGGCTCATATGCTCCAGAAGAGAATGCTTTGTTGTCAGAGCCTTACTGCAGACAGTGCACGTGTATGGCCGCTCTCCAGTGTGCATCCGCTCATGGACTTGAAGAGAATGCTTCTGGGAAAAGCCTTTTCCACACTCGCTGCACTTAAAAGGGCGCTCCCCTAAAAGCAAAAGATGACATTTTTAAGAATGGATGCGTTATTTCTCATTAGACATTCTGACACGGAGATGCACTGCAATAACATGGTCACTAAAAATGACTTTTGCATAGTGATAAGGAGAATTAAGAGACAAGCTTCACACAGCAATAAAATAATTCTTTAAGCATTGCTATATCATTCAGCATTTAAACAGTGACATGATTAACTAAACTGCAGTCAAGGTAAGACATAAAGGCTATGAGGTCTCCTGACAGGAATAAAAGAGCAAACATAGGAGACACTGTAATTTGGACCAGCATCCTATTCTGGGCACTTCTTGCTGTAGACAACAGTCCACATTTCAGCAAGTCACTAAACCCTGACCCAAAAGCAGCAGTCTCTTAATGCCTACCTGTATGACTTCGTTGATGAATAGCTAAGAAGTGATTGTATTTAAATACTTTGCCACAGTCTTTACAGCGAGCTTCAGAACCCGCACGTTTTCTTTTTCCATCAGTTCTCTTTACCAGTCCTTTTTCATCCTCATCACTGAGAAGCTTATAATCTTTTAGTTTGACTGACCTCCTTATTCTGCGTTTGCTGTAACGGCTCCGAGTGCTCTGTATTCCTTCTGATTTGGGATCATAATTCTCATCTTTCTCAGCTGACAGATCGACAGCAGCTTCTGAGCCACAAGCATGTTCATTTTCTTTTGCATCCTTCCTCGCTGGAGACTGTTCGCTGGCAACTGTTTCTTCTGCTGCAGTGTCTTTTGTCGTAAAGTTCTTCTTATTTTGCATGGAGTTGTTCTCTCTCAGCTGCACATCTTCAGCAGAATTTCCTCCTGATTCTCCTTCTTGGACATTACTGACTTTTCTCGGTCGCCCTCGTTTTCGCTTTGGTGGATCTTCATTTTTCTTGTCACTTGCAGTAACAGCTACAGTGGCCTCACTATTAGCTGGAGCTGGTAACACACTACCTGGGCTACGGCTGGCCTGATAGTCTGTGCAGGCCCACACCAGGTCAGTCACCTTCAGCAGCTGTGCAGTAGCCAGAATTTGTTCTGTGTTTTTCTCACTGGCACGGAGACAACCAGTGTAGATAAATTCTAGCAGTGCTCCAAAGGTGTCTGCAACCATTCCCTCCAACATGTAAACTGACTGTCCTATTTCACCCTCATCAACAAACATCATTGAGAAGTATTCACTGCTGGCAGCAAGCAAAGCTTTATGGGCTCTGAACTGCACATTCTCCACTATCAGAGTAATGTCACAAAGAAAATCCTTTTTCCTTTGTTCTTCAAAATTAGCTAGAATGGTATCTTTGTGAGCTTTGGAGTGGATGATGACCAGTTTCTCAGAAGAATCAGGAGTCGTTTCTGCCATTTTTATTGCAAATATGAAAGGAGGTGCCTACAACAACAGAATAGCTTTAATTAAGGAATATTTCACAAGTTTGCATTATAAGACACTAAATACCATTTGCTTTACCAGTCAACAGCATTCAATAGTTACTGAAGAAATTCTCAAGCCTCTGAACTTTCTTTCAAAAAAAAAATCAACACTGATGCCAACAGATTTGCTTTGAAAAGTGTTTTTAAATCATAAGAAATGGCTACAGATACCTTCTTAGATGAGAACTGCTGCCTATTATTTCACTTCATTATCTCTGATGTATTGCATCCAAAAAAAAACCCAACAAAGCTATCCTTTCTGAAAACTCCTTTCACAACTAGAACCGGACAAAAATTCACAGCTCCTAAATGGTGTATTTGGCCTGCATGGCAAGGTTCTGGTACCAGAGGGGTTATAGGGAGAAGCTGCTGTGAGAAGCTGCCAGAAGCTTCCCCTGTGTCTGTCAGAGCCAATGCCAGCTGGCTCCAACACAGACCCACTGCTGGCCAAGGCCAAGCCCATCAGTGATAGCAGTAGTGCCTCTGGCATAATAGGAGGGGAAAAATCCTGCGCATGGCAACTGCAGCTGGTGAGTGAGAATATGTGAGAGCAAGAGCCCTGCAGACCACAAGGTCAGTGCAGAAGGAGGGCAGGAGGTGCTCCAGGTGCAGCAGCAGAGATTCCCCTGCAGCCCATGGTATGGCCCCCGGTGAGGCAGGCTGTGTTCCTGCAGTCCCTGGAGGTCCATGGTGGAGCAGATCTCCACCTGCAGCCCATGGAGGACACCACACTGGAGCAGAGAAAGTGAGAGGAGTCCTCTCCTGAGGAGGAAGGAGCAGCAGAGACAACCTGTGATGAACTGATGACAATCCTCATTCCCCAGTCCCCTGCCTCACTAAACTGGGACTGAAGTTGAGGCTGGGAAGAAGGGGGGAAAGGTGTTTTAAGATTTGGTTTCACTGTCTCATTATCCTACTCTGATTTGATTGTAATTTCCCCAAGTCGAGTCTGTTTTGCCTTTGACGCTAATTGTTGAGTGATCTCCTGCTGTCCTTATCTCAACCCATGAGCCTTTTGTTATATTTTTTTCTCTCCCTGTGTCCAGCTGACTTCTCTGTCAGAACTTACCTGCTAAGCTTCAGCCTATGGAGGTGGGCAACAAAAGCAGCAAACCAGAAGCTTTTTAAGGAGCTCTGTCTAAAACAGGCGTGGCTATGCTAATTATTAACTATCAATTTGGTGTGCTGAGCTTCTTCAACAGTAAATTGCAAAAACTAAAAAGAAAAAAAAAAATCCGACCACTTTAGAAGAATCCACCAAACACTACTACAGGTGTGCCAAAAATGTCCATTTCAAGAGGATCAAATGAACCAAAGGTGAAACGAAGTAGCTACCTCCCATCCTAATTTATAAGTATCATATTAAATACAAATATCTGTATTTCCGTTTAGTGAGCCCACTTGTTCCAATCACTATAATGGATGCTGTAAGAAACAACTTATGCTATGTACAGATGATACCCAAATGCTGCTGAAGTGGCCCACAAGTGATTTTTTTAGCTTCTCTCAGCTACCAAACAGTTCATGATGGAACCAAATTGTTTCAATCAGTAGCTTTAATTTCTGGAAGATGTGAGCCTGGTGCTGCTGGAGCACCCTAAAGCAGGGCTGCAGGTCTGACTCCACAGTGCCTTGCAGTGTGTTAGGGAACTGATAATAGATGTTCCAGAGGGTTTTGGCATTCGATCATGAGCTGACATTAGTATTTTGACTGAAAAATCCAAACCAGCATGTAACTGAAACCCCCCTCATAATTCTAGAGTAAGGCTGTGGAATGACAGAATCAGGTAGGTTGAAAAAGACCTTTAAGATCATTAAGTCCAACCGTTACTCCAGGACTGCCAAGACCAACAGTAAACCGTATCACTAAGGGCCTCATCTACAAACTTTCTAAACACTTCCAGGGACGGTAATTCCACCGCTTTTCGTAGGAATTCTTGGAATACAGAGGGGAAGGCTCCCACGCCGCCAGCAGCTCGGCCAGACCGACTCCCGCCCACCCTCTGGTAAGCTGCGGAGTGTTCAGGCGTACCACGCGCGTTCCGGGGCCTGACTCCCAGTAACACAGCGCGGCCCAAGGCCGGTTCTCCACACACAGAGAGGCGGCGAGCACCGCCCGGGCCGCAGAGAAACCGTAAAACCCGCGGTGGGCGGGGCGCGTGAGGAGGCTGGGGGCACCACAACCCCCTCACCCGTTCCCCGCAACTCGCTCCCGCAGGGAAGGCCGCTCGTCCCTTCAGCAGGCCGTGAGCCGCGTGAACCGCCGGCCCGTGTTCCCTCACCCCAGATGCCCAACCCTACCCCAGGCCTGGCGGCTGCGGCCCAATACTGTGGAGGGGGGAGTCAACCGCCACTCACCGCTCCCCCGCCGGACCCCCTCAGCGCAACCGCCGCTGCACTTCCGGTCCGGCCGGCAGCAACGGAGGCGCGCCTTGCGTCCTGACGCACCACGCACCGCACGGCGGGTCGGCCCCGCCCTCTGTCCGTGGTGGCCGCGTGCCCCGCGTGAGCTGGGATGTGTAGTAAAATGTACTCGAGGCTTGGGACGAGAGGCTTTAATTGTAAGAGCTTACAGTTAAGAAGCTGCTCCTGGAAAACTTGGCTTTGCTCACCGGCCGTGTTGTAGTGCCCTTGAGTTATGAGAAGGATGTGGGGGTGTGGGGTGAGGACGCGCAAGCCCGGGCTATGCAAAGCCGGGGCCGGCATCCCTCAGGGACAGGAAGGTCTGAAGGCTGTCGTCGAGGCCGAGCGGCCGGTGCTGCGGCTCCTTGTAGGGCCCTGCCATGGCGGCCCCCAGGTAGGGCACGAGCTGACAATGCTCCACGAACTGTGCCAGCTTCCTCCGATAGGCCTGCCGCGTTGGCTCCGGGATCCGCGGGTTGTGTGCTGCGGAGAGTTAAGCGACATCTTAGTGTCCCCTCTTAACTTCATGGCATTACATTGCCCCAAATTAAAAAATACTAAGATCAAAGCTTTTGTAAACCACAAACGTACTCAGCTGCCATCAGCTTCCTGTTCTTTGGGCATAAGGGGCTGGTGATACCCCAGGCAGTGCCAGATTTAGAGGCACATATGTTGACATGGCACTGCATTGTATGGCTGGCACTGGCATGGTGCTGCCACATCCATGGCACAACTGTTCTATGATCTAAATGCTTTGCCTGTAAAAAATCCAGAGTTGACTGACAGTTTGGAGGAGCAAGGAAATGTCAAGGAACTTTACAATGAAGATACTCTTTCTTTTCTCTCGTATCTCTCTGCCCTAAGCACATTAGTACTGAGTGCCAATTCCCAGAGCATCCTTTATTATTTTAATTGACACAGATGCAAAAGGGAAGGAGTGATTTAAGACAGCCAAATCATAATCATTTTCCTGTGGATGGTATGTATATCTCATTACAAAAACTGGACAACATGAAGAACTATGCTGTAAGACACTTCATCCCCTGGCTTTAAATTGTAGGCTACTGCATTTCACAGCTTCTGAGTGATTTTTCAAGGATAGCTGTATGCAGAGCTCTGAACAGGAATCAAATTTGAAGGACACTAAATCACTCTTTTGATGTATGGTTCATTATTCTTTTTCCAGGAGTAAATCTCTGCATCTATGACTGATTACCTGTACCTTCTGTTCTTGGATACTGAAAGTAATACAGTATTGTTGTCAGAAAAGCTGCAGGAGCAACTAAACCACTGTTTCTTGTGCTTTCTAAATTTCTATTTAAATGTGAGATTAGAGAGTGACGTAAGTTGAAGGTGAGAAGTCTTACTTCAGATAGAAATAGGATATTAAAAGTTTCCAGGGGACCACAACATGAAGCACTTTGATCAAGTTTTTGATTAGGGACTGTGTGACTACTTTGAAGACACACAATAGTAAATAATGCTGTATTTGCAAAGGAGTTAAAAGTTAACTTGTTTTTCTGGATTCCTATGGTCAAACAGTCACTGTGTGAGAAGAGATTTGTATAACTTTTCTAGTGCTAGTACTGATTTAATGCAATACATGTGCAAAGCATTCCTAGTGTGGACATTGTTACGTTAGCAAAGCTGTGCTAACAATAGAATGAAAACAGCCTTTGTGGATGAAACTACAGTAGAAAAGCAGTTTGCTGGCTTCAGAACTGTACATTTATGCTGGGGCTTATCACGTGCCTGCACTGTTCAGTGGGCTTCCCTAACAAAGCTATGCCAGCAGAAATCTGTGATAGTCCAAGAACATTCTGGAGGGCTCTGGAAACTGCATGAGGAAACATGGGATGTGAAGAATTTTAGACAGATAATAAAGATTACCATTACTGCAGACCCACAGACTGGTTTGGGTTGGAAGGGACCTTAAAGCTCATCCAGTTCCAACCCTCCTGCCATGGGCAGGGACACCTTCCACTAGACCAGGTTGCTTCAAGCCCCATCCAACCTGGCCTTGAACACTGGCAGGGATGGGGCAGCCACAGCTTCTCTTGGCTAAAAGAATTATCTAAAAGAATAATTAAAAATGTAGAATACTAAAAGGCAAGGTAAAGTTCGTTCACTTAACACATTGTCAAAACTGGTAGGTTGAAGAAATGAAAGTTGTGCTTCAGAAGTCTCCAGCAGTACTGGAAGCTGACAGCTGCAAACTAGGCTGTTGAAATCCAGAAAGCTGTCACTGTTCTGGGTGATAGTGAATTATTAAAGATTATTGTCTCCAACTGCTATCTTGGACTGCAAACAAGCAAACAAACAAAATTCTTAAACCCACCACCAAATATGAACACAGGAGGCAAAGCTCAAATGATTTCCGTCACTGGAGCAGTCCTAACCTCTGCTAGCCCCATGAGGTGTTTGTCGTTATTTTGTGGGTTGAGTATAAAACATTTGATTTTAGTTTTTGACTCCCTATCTTTGATATGGAAAAGTAAGGTCAATTGGACTGTTGATTAACTAATAAAGAAGTTAAAAATAATCAACATAATGGTAGTCTGAATCACATTAGAATTCACATATTCCCAGATAATTTCACAAAGAAGCAGACTGATAAATACCTTTTTTTTTTTGTGCTAAAACTTAAAAATCTAATTAAACCTGCAAGAATATCAATTTTTTTTATACTGTGTTAACTTGGTGTTTCCATGGAAAAGAGGCTTTTTTGAAAACAGGTGTTCTACATGCACTTAGGCTTTCAGTACTATTAGACCTTCCATTTACATATGTAGCTGATGCGTTGTTGTTGATGTATGATCAGAAAGTTTTCTTCAAGTTATCTGCAAGGCAAGGCTTGTTAATAAGTTTTATTTGACCACCTGATACAGCTGAAGAAAGGCAAGCATTGAGGCACCTGAACCGTTCCTCAGACAATATTTCAGCTGCTTTTTATTACAGTAATTTTAGTCAGTTTTAAATACAGGTTGTCTGTGACTAGTTCAAAATGTAGTACCATCCAGATTATAACATTTTACTTTCTGTTTAAAAACTCCAAAAAATGCATGTTAGAATTGTTTTTAAGGTCTCCAAGGTGTTGGTGATAAAATGTCATTAAGTCGCATGATTTGTGAGAGATCACTTACCTATCTACTTATCCTACTAACCTTCCTTATCTCTAAGTTCACATCTCCAAGAAACTTGGCATTTTGTACTTAAATCAGTATATAAAAGTATGTTCTCAAGTTGCACATAAGAAAACTACACAAATTGATTATCTGTGTTGCATCAGATGATTTACATTTATATAATTCATTATTTTTAATAGCATATTATTTATACTCCGTTTATACTCTACCTTTTAAATGGCAGGCGACAAACAGCAGAGCAGTTTTTTTTACACTTAGGAACGGAAACTTTGGCTTTAAGCAGCCTACTTCATTAAGAGCTTTTATTAGAGAAGTTGCTACTCCCTAAAGAAAGAAAACAGTTATAGAAGACTATTACAGAAATATTAAAGCCTGATCCTGTTGTCATTCAAATCTAATACTACAGGATGATATCTAAGTTGTGAATTGTAGAAGAAATAGTATACAATACAGAGGGAAGTGAATATAAATGATTTTTTCTTTCATGCTCATGGCTCAAAATGTAACCCACTATGCTTAAATGATTCCAGATAGACTTGTGTCTATCCTGGTTTTAAAAATCAAAGCAAAATGTAATCTTACAATATATGAAAAACAACAGAGTCAGAAAATCCATTGTATGATACTGCAGTTTGTTGTTCCCCTCTGATGGTCTTACTCGCATTTTTTCCATTAAAGCTACAAATACATATTATTATAAAGCTTTAAAAAAATCCTCTCAATAGTAAATACACATTTTTCAATTTAATCATCCCATAATAAATGTAAGACTTAAATTGCATTAAAAATGAAATAAACTGGGTGGGATATACGATACATTGCAAAATTCTCTTTTAAAATAGAAAAGCAGAAACTGGCCTGTTCAAGGTATCCAGGCAAAGGAAGTGCAGTGAGTAGTAGTGGCTCCTTTACTGGAGGGCGTTTAAGTGGAAGCTTCAGATTCCAGTACTTCTCTGGTAACCTAAAGAGATAAAAAATAAGCACTTTTCAGATGTGTAAACAGAGACATGATTAAAAATTGAAATGCAGATAGTATATTCACCTCATAAACTTAAGAAGTTTTTCTTCACTTTCAAAAACATATATCTTCTCTTTATATTTTGCTGAGTACTCAATGTTGCCAGGCACCAAAGCTTCGTATCTGAGGGGACGGAGAAAGAAAGAGTATTAATTCACAGGAAATGTAAAACATCATTTGTGCGATGTAAATTCAAGAGGTACTGGGAGCCTTTGGTAATTTAGCAAATACAGGAACTGCAAAAAAATAGCAACTGGATCATCCAAGTTTCCATCACATGATTGATGCTTACAAGGCTCAAAATCTGAGAGCCTCTGCCTCAAAATCTGCTTATTATGGGGCTTTTATTGTGTTTCTTTAGAGCTCTTCTAGTAAAAATGACAATCGTAGTTCTTCAGGAGATTTAAGAAGGGACAGCATAGAATTGGCTTACACTTCTACCTTGATGAGAAATTCCTGCACACTGAGGAAATCGGTGGTGGAACTTTTTTAATCTCTTATGAAAATCATAATAGGTAGTTTTGCATCTACAGGGTTTTTCTGAGGTTTGTCTGAACTTTTGAAGGCTTATGATACAGAAAACAAACTATACCAAAGCAGTCTTCATCACAAAAACCAGTAAGGCAACACAGATCCTTGTAGAACTTGTAGCTGTATGAGTTTCAGAAGGTGATTCTACATTAATATCCAAAGCCACAGGCACAATATAGAGAATAGTAATTGCTTTTCCTATCCAGACCCTGAACACTATTGATTTTTTTTTCTCATTAATGTGTTAATGTAATTCAGATTATGAAAACTACAGTGAGGTACCTCTGTTTTCCGTCCAGGTAAGTGACTGGACAGCATCCGTGCATTTGAGCGCTTACAGGGAATGAGGCCGTCACTTCTGCTGGCGTCAGTTTCTTTGGTAGCATATCTGAGGGTGGGAGAGGGTGAGGTGCAAGTGGTGACACATAAACCTCTGGTCTGCTCAAGAATTTCTGTAGAAAAAGGAATGAAATGGTTTTATAATGAAAAAATCACTGTTAAGACTGTTAAGTCAAAACTCCAGAGGACTGGCTCACACAATTTAGGTACTTGTTTCTTATATAGCAGCTCTCTTAGTGTGCTGGCACTGCTGCTGCTTCTTTCAGGTAAGTAATTTCTTTCCCAATCCACTCCGTTGAACTCATTACTATCCACCCACTATCCACTGCTGTTATTAGCCACTCTCTACCCCCAGTCTCTCCAAAACAGATGGAGAAAGGAGGGAATGATTGCTTTAAAATGAATGTTTGGCATATGATAATTTTAAGAGGAGCTTTGGTTTGAATGGGCTCTCTGCTGCAATCAAAGAATCTAGGCAACAATGTTCTCTTTACCCATAATCCCCTCCTGAGCTGCTTTTTAACACTTACATCCAGTTCTCCCTGTGAAGCCATTTTGTAATAGTGTCCTTGAAATTCTGCAGCAAACTGCAGTGATGATGTTACAGAGCAGTCGACCAGTTCGCCCTTTTCTGCAAGGCTTACGGGACAGTACTGTCCAAACTCCCCCAGCCGATGCTGCAGCTCTTCGGGAGTGATACATAAGCCAGCAATGCTGGCTGCTTTGCCTGGTAATATAAACAATGTTTTATTAATGAAAGACATAGAAACATCAAACATTTTTTATTCAGAAGTGTTACAGTTTGGAAGATACTGCCATTCATCATGTGAAAATGATATGAAATAATGAGAATTAAACCAGCAATTTTTATAGATTGATATTAAAATGAAGTTGCAACCCATTTTACCAATTAATAACATTTTTCTAGCACTTATTAGTAATGTGGGATACTCTGTATGCTTAAATTACACTGTTTTCCCTGTCACAGTTTTATTTATTATTGATTGTTTTACTTGTTTCTGATTGTTTTCTTACAATGGGGCACATTGTTAAGGAACATTTCAGCTATTATTTTATTCCTTTATATTGGTGAAAAAGTGTACAAGGTGTGCTAAAAGCCTCCCCTTTACTCATCCATGTCTTGCAAGTGCTACAGTCTATCCGGATGATATATATTCAAAATCTTGAATAAAATGTCATATAAAAACCAAACTATTTTAAAATTATGTTTCTCAAGCTTGATGTGGAAAAGTGGGTTGGTTGTTTTTTTTTTTGCTTATGACTTTTAAGAAGGTTGCAGCTACAGAGCTGTAAAAGTTAAAACTAGAAGGTAAATATAAGACAAGGAAGGTTTTTTTGCCCTTCAGAGGCACAGGTATGTTTAAACCTAACCAATGCTGACACATAAAATTCAAGTGGAAAGTGTCATTTTAGACCAAAGTGGTTTTCCACAGCACAGAATTTAACTTGGATGGAATATTTAACCTTAATTCCAGACTTATTATAACATTTTCTCCTTCCTTCCATCTTCCTCCACTGACACTTAAGTAAAGCTGCAAGTTATAGTCCCCCTTGTATACTTTGAGGTATCCTTTGTGATTTGTCACTGAATGTTGAGGAACCTACAATGGACCATGAGACATCTTTCACCTATATTCTGTTATCCCATTCTTTGGAGAGTGACCTCAGACTGTCCTGTAGTTGGTTTTGCCTTTTTTCAAAAAGAGATCTCTTCAAGATCTTTGCAGATGAGATCAGAGAATTTGAGGCTATGTATGTGCTCAAGAATTAGCTTCGTCCAAAGCAAGTTGAAGTTGAAATGCACTCATTACATTGCAACTTCTTAAAGAAACATATACTACTCTGAGAAACGTTGTTTTTTCTTTTACCTTCTCTTATTCTTTCCAGGTATATCTGTATTTCTTTAACAACCACTTGAACTTCTTGCAGTACTTTGTTCCAGACCCACCACTTGCTCCGGAAAGCATCAATCACACACCAGTTCTGATGCTCCTTCGTATAGTAAGTCCTGATTGCATTAATGTGCTGTTCATAGCAGCATTTTTTAATAGCTAGAATCTGTGAGCTGTCATGTTCAGGGTAGGGAGGCCTGAAGACAATGAAAAATAACACTGATTGAAGTATGAATGTTAGGTAACTGAATTTCACGTGCAAATTCTAGAGTTCACTTTAAGTCCTATTTACAAAATTCTGCTTATTTGACAGTGTAGAAGGTATTTGAGAAATACAAATTTCTCATTGAGAATGCTACCATTTACACTTCTGATCAGACAGCTGTGTTCAGAAACAAAGAACAAAACTTTTGCCATTTAAGTCCCAGATACAAATAAATAATTCCATAAAGGATTTGGACTGTATCAGCACATATTAACTGACACACATTACTAATACACCATTAAATGGTATCCTAGACAAAATGCTGTGTGACTTTTTAAATGGAAGTCAACTGTTAATGAAAAACAGGATGGGTTTTGAGCTGTGCCATTGTTTGAAATCAAGAATTAGCCACAGTCCTTGGATATATTTTGAAAATTGTCTGTCATATTTACATATACTAAAATTAAAATAATCCATCTGACCACTAAAAAATATTATGCAAGACCAGGAGAGAAATTTTTACTAGGACAATGGAGCATTTGCTGTTCTGGTTCTTAATTTAAATAATGCCAAAAAAAAAAAACAACAAAAAAACAAACCCACCAAAAAAAAAAACAAACGCTTCTGTTTTAATAGGGTTAATTTCGCTGTAATTTGTACCTTTGAGAAGTATCTGATAGTGCACATTTGATTTGTATTTAAGCCAATGAAATGTAATTAGTTTGGGATTTAAAATGAAAAGTTTGAAGTAAATACTTTTAAAAAGACAGCATTAATTTAATTTTTTTGCAGTGGAAATAGTCTTTAGGCTTTCAGTAAACACTTAAGCATTGTACTGATTATTTGATAAAAAGAAAGAGGCAAAATGAAGGAGACATGCAATAATGCTCTTAAGTTATCTGGAACTTCTTAGAAACACTTCCTCTAATGAGAACCAGGTTCTCACACAATTTAATTTTAAGGTGAATATTCTGTTCTTATTAGTTCTCTGTCCATTTATAAACTACTTACTACTCTTCTTCAAAAACAACCAACAGCTCTTTTAACCATAATGTTTTTATCTCATTAGAAAAACAAAGAAGGGACTGAGTTGAATGGAAAGGTTTTGATGAGTAACTCACGAATTGTATACATTATTCAAATATATACTATTTTCATCTTTCAAAAAGAAATTAAGACTGAAAAGAGAGCTTATTAGATGAAGTGTCAATTTCCCTTATGATGGTAATAATTGAATTGACGAATAATAAACTTCAGCAGCAGAGTGAACTAGTTAACATTTCTGATGTATGGTTTCATTAAAATCGATTTAACTAAGCAGTGGGTGCACAGCATTGCGCATCTGTGACCTCAGTTATACCATCAGCATATCTGGACAAAGCATGCCACAAATTCCTTATGTCTTCGTTTCTGGTCTATGGAAATCAGTGTGTTAAAATGCAGAGAGACTGGTGCCCATATCTGCCATATATGGAGTTTGGAGACAGCTGGGTTACGCACCAGTTTAGGTACAGCCTCTCTGGGTATAGCACTTGGGGCACATAAACAGAGAAATTACAATATTGTGGGGGTAAAAATATTGATATCATGGAGCATCACTACCTATTCATGCTTTCCTTATCCAACAGTGCTCTTCTGAGCACTTCCTTTGTATCCATTTCTAACTCAAAGATCTTCATTGGAATGATCCTAGCTGATTCCAACAGGTTTACTTGGTTTGTTGTTACAGGGTAGTCATCAATTACAACTCTGCATACAAACAGAAACAGAAAGACAGATTTCCTATGAAGTCAGTATCTAATTAACCATTAAGACTGTATATTCCTAGCACATTCTCAATCAAGACAGAAGTCTACAGCCATGCCATGAAGTTTCTGTTTCCTTGACTTGACAGACAAGTCTTCACTCCTTAGAATTTACAGTCAAAAACAAAAAATAAAAAATAAAAAAGATCAAGTAGCTAGAATAAGAAATAGTAAAGAAAATACACAAAGGGCAAAAAGTATAGGAATGTAAGTGGATGGCTCTGACTTATAAAAATGACAGACTTCAAAATTCTGACACATCAGTCTTTCAGAAACATAATTTTAAGTGTAAAAATCTACATATGGATTGCAAGGAATACTTTTTAAAGTAGAAGTAAAATGATATACAGTACTTGAAGAGTCTTTTTAATCATACATGGACCTGTTGGAAAAAGTCCAGAGGAGGGCCACGAGAATGATCAGGGGACTGGAGCACCTCCCATATGAAGATCGGCTGAGAAAGTTGGGGCTGTTCAGCCTGGAGAAGAGAAGGCTGCGTGGAGACCTCATAGCAGCCTTCCAGTATCTGAAGGGGGCCTATAGGGATGCTGGGGAGGGACTCTTCATTAGGGACTGTAGTGATAGGACAAGGGGTAATGGGTTAAAACTTAGACAGGGGAAGTTTAGATTGGATATAAGGAGGAAATTCTTTCCTGTTAGGGTGGTGAGGCACTGGAATGGGCTGTCCAGGGAGGTTGTGAATGCTCCATCCCTGGCAGTGTTCAAGGCCAGGTTGGATGAGGCCTTGGGTAATATGGTTTAGAGTGAGGTGTCCCTGCCATTGGCAGGGGGGTTGGAACTTGATGATCTTAAGGTCCTTTTCAACCTAACTATTCTATGATTCTATATTGAAGAAGAAATGCTTTTCACTTATTAGACAATACCGGGACAAAATATATTGAAACAATATTCCGGTGTTTTAACATGAAAGGAGTGTTGAAAGAATTCTGCTCCCAAGCTCAAATACTTTTCAGAGATTATTCCAGAATTGCCTTTTCCTATAAACAATTCTCCTTTTTGGATAGAGGAATTGAATGTCATAAAATAATGATCCTGAAGCTTTTTAAGTCTACCCGGTATGGAAGATGTTTTAGTGGTGGAGAAAGAGCCTAGGAAATCAGGATCACACAGGAATGAAGTGGAACGACTTGCTGGTTTCAGTTTCTCCTTAATAACTTCAGTTGTAACAAAACCAGAAAAAACAATGAGTACTGAACCAGTTTGCGTGTCCAGAGTGAATCAGATGCCTGAGTTGGGACTGGAGCTGGTTTAAGAGAGATAAAATGGTAGTTTTCAAAGGATAATAGAAGTAGTGGTTTATTGCCTAAGAAGGGTAACTTCCATCGAGCATATTATTTGGATTTACTGGAATATACTTGAAAACTGCAGAAAATTATGCTTCAGTCTGATTTCCCAGAGTAACGCAAAGAAGATAATTTTGTATGGATTATTTTGTTAATGCATAAACCACTGATGTGTCTCAGTGAAATTGTTCTAGTGATAACACGTGAATCACTGCCTTTGAAGAGACAGGCATGTCTTGTGAAAAAACCCCCCGAAATGCAAACAAGACTCTTACCCAGTGGTATTACACACATGGTTCATCAGAGCCACATCTAGAGCCTGGATGGCCAGTGCATCAGGTACAGTCAGTCCTTTCTGAAGGTGCTGCTTTAACATAAGTGCCAGCTGACTCTCAGGCTGATTGTTTAACACAAGCCGCATGGCATCTCCTATACTCAGACGCAGTAACCCATACATACTTGCAAATTTCTTGGCAACTGGAAAACATTTTTATTTCAACACACAACTTTTATGTAAGCAACATCACAACTTAATTTTGCTAAAATATGTCCTTAGTCTTAGAAGTTAACTGCTCAGCTCATTCCGTGGGTTATTGCCAATGCAGAATCTTGGTGAGTGGGCACCCTCAAGGGCCCAAACCTTTGCATGGACATGTGCAGAACATGTCCAATGCACTAACAGCATTCAATTCAGCACTTCAATTGCAATTGAACTGCAATTCAACAACTTCAGCAGCAGTAGTCAGTATTACAAACGATTTTAGAAAATGCCCCTTTTATAAAACAGCCTAGCAATAAGATCAGTTTCCCAGGAAATATGGTTAAAATTTCCTCCCTAATCTGGGATAATTTGAACCCATCTCTTCTTTTTCTAATATCTTATTCTAACCATTAAGCTATGGTGTAAGCTGAATTTTCAGCTTCCCCCGTTAAAGGCAGAGACCTGTGGGTTGAAAGAATCACGGAGAAAGAAGGAGAGGGGAGAAAGAAAATCTACAAGTTTGGAAACAGACTGGGGAAGGTGAGATTTGGGTTTGGGTTCTGGTCCTATATTATAGGACCAGAATATCTAGAATATGAATATTTCTTCATTTTACATTAGAGCATATTGACAGAAGGAAATAAAAAACAATTAGAAAATAACCACAGTATGCACAGATAGTGTAAGTCCACATTTCTTACGTGCTAGTCCACGTCACTAACTTCTTAAAAAGCTGGAACAAAATTCAGATGGACAATGCGTAAGCGTCTGATTGTCACGACACTAAAAGAATCTATGCCCAGCAAGAAAAGCAGGAAGACCAACAATATTAATGGTTTATGATTTTTTTAATAGCAGTAATGACAGATACATAGTTATTAGATAAGGTTTTGTTCTATAGATAATACTTGCCCTACCTGTAGTCTTTCCAGATTTTGGAGGTCCCACAATTGCAATCTTAACTGGCACAGTTGGTTTAGGTTTTGGCTGACAAATATATTTGATGGGATTTTTCATAAATGTTTCTCTATTTTCTTTGCTTGAAAAGAAATAAATATATTGTCGATGGATTACAGGAAAGACACTGTTTCCATAGCTTTGTGGTGGCTTCATTACATCTCCTTCACTTAGCTGTAGAATATACAAAACGGAAGCAGTTGATTAGGTTTGATATAAGGCCTACTCTCCTTCTGTCCTACAGAAGTGGCTTTATAAGCAGGTAGAGGAGTATCAAATGTATGAAACAAACCATTAAAGCGTTCTGAAATTCATACATATAGGCATAATATTTTGTCTGAGCCTGAGGAACTTCTGTACATACGCAATTCTTATACCAAAAGATAAAGTGAATATTGGAGACACAAAGAATATTCACTGTTTCCAGTAGGTGGTACCATAGCACTTTCTGTCCATCAAGAGAGTGTAGTCAGAGAGATATTAATACCTTTTTAATTTTCAAAGAATAATTTTATTTCTCTATGAATTATGAATTACTTATCAGCTTGACAGGATACCATACACTGAGAATATTGTATTCAGCAGAACTCGTATACAAATGACGAAAACAGAAAAGAATATACTTACTTAGAATACTTACATTGTGGTGAAGTGTAAAACTACAACAAGGCCAGCCAAAAAAACTTCCGGTAGAATACATACACTACTGATGAAATCTTTCCAAACACATCAGACAGCCCATTAGAAAGTCTGTAGTGTTGATGGATCATTGAACTCTGAGAGGAGCACTAATGGCAGGAATGGTCATTGCAGAACGCAATGCATTCCTTCCATCATGGTTCATGATGAAAAAACTTAGAGGTGTCCCTATTGCAGCCCTTCTTGGAGGAACCAGCTTAAAGTGTCAATAAAAGATGTTTTAGAACAAATTGTTGACACCTGTGGAAAATATTGCCCAGACCAGATGTCATTCACCTTACAGTTCCAAAGGGACTCAAAAGTGAAATTGTTACAGACTGCTGAGTAACCTATTGCATACGTTAGCCTGCCTTCCACAAAAAAGGAAAGCAGAGAAAGGGATTGTTTCTTGAAAAGGCCTCCAGGATAGATCCTGGGAAACAGTCCAGTAAATCTGGCCCTGTATTGAGCAAATTGAAACACATTAAGAGTTAAAAAAACCCCAGTAGTTACAGGCATACATAGGAAATAACGGGGAAGAGCCAACTCAAGCGTCTTGTAAAGGGAAATCATACCTCACAAATCTACTAGTATACTTTGAAGGAGTCAGTAAATATAGATAAGTTGATTTGGTTGTTACAGTAACAGATGGGACTGTTCTACTGTGTGGCATTACCTTGCCAGACTCTTCACTGATTCTTAGGTTCCTGTTCCTGCACCAATTCATTTCAGGGTGTTTGCCCTCAATTTATAAGATGTCGGAAGTCTGTTCTACTGTGTATCTGCCCCATTCCTCCCTCAGGTCATAATTTTTATTCTCTGCTTATCTAATCAGTTGCATAACTCCTTTCCTCCACCCTAAATTTAGTCTAACAGTAATTGGCATGTACTCTATCCGTCTCTGCAGAAAAAAAAGTCCGGTCTGTACTCAATTTCATAATTTCTACTATATCTTAAAATACTCTCAAAATGATCCTATTTTCCTTTCATTATTGCCAGCATATATATTTCCACTGTTAGCACACCACTGATTTTATCTACTAGATTTCAGTGACGTCTTTCTTCTAACTGAATTGTACTTTCTGGTTGGTAAAAAACACTATACAGCATGAATGAATGGAGAAATGGAATGACAAAAATGTAGTGAAATCTTAAGAGAACAAAGTGCAAAGTCTAGCATGCAGGGATAAATAAGAATTAAACATACAAGCTAGGGTTCAGTAATTGGAAATGACAGAAGGGGTATCTGACTCTATCAGTATGTCTCTAGATTATTAGATGCCAGTTTGATGCAGCCATGGAAAAGGCAATTCTTATCCTAAAATACTGTAAGAATTTTGATTCTATAAAGCTGTAATAAGAGTTGATCTGTATACAGTTCTGATTGCCAAGGTTAAAGAAAAATAAATGTGATCTGGAACAGGTGAAGACCCAACATGAAGACTATAAAAAATTGAATTAAAGTTACTTGATTAAGTAGTGTAGTAAAATGAAGGCCAAAGTATGTTTCTTTCAGGAATTTCCTGTTTTCTGTATCTCATTCAGTAAGGTTTTTTAAATCAGTTCTCCTTTTTATTTCTCATTTATTCACAATCCAACCTGTTTTTTTTTTCTAGCATTGAAACAAAAAATATACTTGCCAACATTTCACTTGGTACCTATAAAACTGTATCAGCCCACTTTTGGGGACAGACATGAGTACTTTCTGACCTTGACTTTTCAGATCTCAGTAAAATACTATGGAATTAGATTTCTTGCTCTTCAAATTTGTAAATTTTAACAATGAATAATTATTTCTGATGGATTATATATATTTAATGTTTGTTGGCTTACTTTTTTGCCACTGCTAGGGTAGTGGCCACCTGTGTGAGTTCTTACAAATTCAAATTCCAAATCCTTTCAGTGTGTTTTCATTGCTTCTGGAAGGCTTTAAGACCTTCTCTGTTTTCCAGTGTTTTGTGTATCATTAAGAATTAGACATTTCTTTCTGATTCAGTGCCACCTTTAATTGTGTCACCAATGCTAATCTAACAGATTTTACTAAGTGCCTAGCTGCAACACTGAAAAGACTAACAACTTTTATTATCAGTACTTGCTGTATTTTGTGTATACTAAGTGGTGTAATTTTGATTCAGTAATGTAGTTTTTATGGCATATTTCTGCTATTCATTGCCATGATATGGCAATATTTTTTTAATGTGAAATTTATTTTTAAAAGTATTATTTCTTGAAAGTATTCTTCAGCTATATAAGAACATTACCTTGACTGGATCCCACTGACCAAAAGAACTTGGAAATTTATATGAGAATGCTAGCATCTTCTGTGCAAGTGGAAAACTTATTGGGTAGCATTTCTCAAAAATGCTTCCACGATTTTCCATTAGAGAATTCAGCTTGCTGTATATTTGGTAGTGTACGATGCGAGGCTTCCGTCCTCCATTGATCTCAATTAGTGGTATTAACCATTTTTCAAGTTCCTCCTGGTTAATGAAAAAGAAATTAAATATTAGAATTATAAAAAATCAGATTTTTAATAATGGCTGACAGCAGCCTTTTCTGTGAACTCTCAGTGGTTTCTTGAGCATGTTCTTAGTCACTGTAAATCAGCAAAATTTGATTTGAAATAGGAATTGGTTTTCCTGCACACTGAAGTTTAAATTAGCCAGCTTATATGAAGCATCACACTATTAATAATAAAAAAATAAAGCAAAACAACAAAAAAGGAGACAGTCTGACTGTGAACCTTAAGGAATCTCCTATGATAAAGCTAAAGCTTGAAAAATATATTTTATTAAAACAAAAAAATCACATATAGCTCTTTCCCTACTCCCAACGATTTATAATGGCTTACTTAGTTACTCTATACAAATATTGCTGCTCTCTGGTAACTTATTCCTCAGCTTATTCAACTAAAACATAAAACAAATCCATTTTCCACAGAGTTTTTTCTAGGAGCCTAATACTGTTAGGAGTGTTAATGTTTTTCAATATCATCATTTAGTTTTCCATAAAATACCAAGATTCCACAATGTCAAAGAGGATCAACAATTAAAGAACCAGAGAACAGTAAAGAAGTCTTGAGTAATGAATCAGAAATACTTACTAACTATACTTAAAAGTTATCTAAAGTTTTTTATAAAGGCATATATGTTCTTGGAATTAAAAAATGATGAGAAAAATCTTGAATAAACTGTAACTAGGGGATACTAGTAGTATCTAGTCCCAGCTCCCAATATGTAATTCTAGTATATGATATTACTTCTGTGTAATTCCTCAACTTACACATATCTATATGTGTAATATCCACAGTCTTGGATATTTCCACTTACTGTCATAAGCAGAACTCAATGTAATAACGAATCCTAAAACACTATTCACCTCTTGTTGCTGAGATGTATGTACTTTTTGAAAGAAACAAAATTTGCTGGCTCTCTTAATTGCCTGTTCCTTTTCTGATCAAATTTTTCATCAGTTTACAAGCACAACAAATCATATGCTCCCAAATAACATGGAGGAAAAGTGCTCCAGGAACTATGGTATTCCACTAGCTTGAACCTGAAACATTGTATTGTTCATGTAAGGAGCTACGGCCATCCCTGTGTCTTCTTGCTTATTGCCTCTTATGGGCCTTACCCTAAATTCTTTCCAATTCTATTTAGCATTTATTCAGAACCCCTACTTTTTTGTGTGTGTGTGATTATTATAGGAATGCATGATTATATGCATTGAATAGTTTAATACGATTTTGACACTTTACAGTCACTTTTGAAAGTTGAATGTACTTTCAATTCACCTTCTTCCAAAACTAATGGAAAGGTGAACCTCTGAGCACGAAACATTGATCTCTTCCATACAGCTTATGCTTCCTTGTAGTACAAAGAGTGTTAGGAGTTATTCTTGATTCATCTGATATTTAATTCATTAACTATTAAAGCGAACCTTCAATCAGTCATACTTGGGGTGTTGGTAAAGGCTGAATTCACTTTGCAAATCTTGCATCTATGTCTTGGCTGTCTAATGCTGTAAACTTGCTGTCAGTGGATAGAGTTTCTTCTAAGTGATGGTTAGTTTCCTCCTGAAGCAAGATACTTTGTATATAGTAAATAAATGGCACTTCTCTACTTACTGGCTTAGATATGGGCATTAACATTGCAGATACCTAAAGTTAGATGAGGTTACCTCACCACTGGTAATTGCATTGATTTCAGGAAAATTATGTTACTAAGAACTGTATGAAAATCAGAGTTGTCTAATAAGAATTTTGCCTTAAGAATTATTTTGAAGTACTGTTCACATATTTATAACTCTAGCGTGGTCGCCTGCATCAACTGACCTGTCAAAAAGGAAATAAGGACCTTAAGACTGGGTAGGTCTACTGAAAAGTTCCCTTTGTTTCTTTCCCCACAATATTAGTTTCATAAATTGTGTACTTTTTAAAGTAAATACCTTCTCACTACAGACTTAACCTTGCTCACATATTTAGATCATGAGTACAGCAGCACGATTGTTTAAGCACTATAACTTTTAACTCTGACAAGTAAAACTGAATATTCTTTTATTATGCATATAATTAAAAAAAATAAGCAGTGGAATAGGTACCTGTACACCTTGTAAACCATCCATGTCTGAATAAAACTTTTCTGTAATTTCATTTTGTATGCGGTCAACAACATCAATCTCCTGTTCTTCTTCAGCCTCTTCTTCTTCTTCTAAAAACTCTCCTTCAAGTATAGCTTCAGTATCTTCAGTTTCCTCTGTGGCTTCGTAATGCTCCTTATTTGCTAAAGCCTAAAAAGGTAAAATATTTTGTTGTTTTATGTCTATGATACAGATCTTTTGAATAAATATAGGGTATTGTGTCTTTCTACTTAGGAAAATCACTAATTCAACGAAACCTCATTTTGGGGTATCTTTATCATAAACAAAAATCTAGTAAATTCTACAAGAAAATACAGACGTATTGCATTCTGCATAGAGTGAAGCACTGTACCAGTTCCAAGAGTGCTTAAAAAACTGAAGTGGTATACTTCAGTTTTGAGAAAAGGAGTATTTTTTTCATATATGCTTTTGTAATTTGTCAGGGCTTTGTTAGAAACAAGCATGATAGCTGAAAGCGCAGTTGACAGAATTCCATGAGCAGTCAAGTAGTACATTAATGCATTTATAAATATACCATGTCATTGAGTATGGGCAGAAGTCCTAGTACAGTCCTATTCTGGATTAAGCATTGATTTGACAGAGTACTTAAAACAGATGCCTAATTGCAATTAGTGGCACTACTGTTGTTCAACCCTGCTTTAACCCCAGCTGGCAACTAAACCCCACACAGCCATTCACTCACTCGCCCTCTGGTTGGGTAAGGGAGAGAATCAGAAGAATAAAAGTGAGAAAACCTTTGGGCTGAGGTAAAGACACTTTCATAAGTAAAGCAAAAGACACATGAGAAGCGAAGCAAAGCAAAACAAGCAATTCATTCACTCCTTCCCATGGGCAGGCAGGTGCCCAGCCATCTCCAGGACAGCAGGGCTCTGTCACGTGAAACGGTTACTTAAGAAGAAAAATGCCACCGCTCTGAATGTCCCCCCCTTCCTTCTTCTTCCCCCAGCTTTATACACTGAGAATGATGTCATATGGTATGGAATATCCTTTTGGTTAGTTGGGGTCACCTCTTCTGGCTGTGCCCCCTTACAACTCCTTGTGCACCCCCAGCCTGCTTGCTGGTGGGGTGGTGTGAGGAGCAGAAAAGGCCTTGGCTCTGTGGAAGTACTGCTCAGCAGTAACTAAAACATCCCTGTGTTATCACACCGCAGAATAAATCCAAAATGTAGCCCATACTGGGCCCTGTGAAGAATATTAACTATATCCCAGCCAAAACCAGCACAGCTACTCACAAGTAGATATATTAAACATATTCATAAGTATTTTGCTGAATTGGAGCATAATGAAAATGATTTAAAGTAATTTTCAGTGTTCATGAATTAATAGTTTCTAAAACAATTTAAACATTGTGACAAATGATTTTTTAAAGTAGAAGTTTCTGACAACCATATTTTTACTTTTCTACATTGCCCTAAAAACTAACTAAAAGCTCTAGAATTTTCTAAAATACGAATGACATACACGTCTATTTAAAATCTTTCTTATTAGCTTTTCTTACCTCCTCTTTCTTCTGTTGTTCTGCTAAAAGTTCTTCCCTTCTTCTAGCAATCTTCTTATCCTGTTAGTGAAAAAAAGATGTAAGAAGACAGTGATATTTCCTAATAAATGTTCTTTTGTGAGTACTGGTAATGTGACTTAGAATTACTGTTCTTTCCACCTTAAAGCTCTGTTTCCAGTTGCTTCCGATATTAAAAAATACTGCAGCTTGAAATTCTGCAGACCAGATACACCTCTCTACTAGGTGAACATGTAAGTAAATTTTAGCAAAACTAATATGGCAACTTCTGAGACTGAGATTGTGGGGGGAGGAAAGACTCTGATTCTGATCACACTGAAAATATAACACTTACTGGTAAACTACAGAGTTTCTAAACTTACAGGTGTTTTGTACTATTTAGGAAAGAGGTGAATGAGCATTGTATTAAATGTGTGCTGTTCCCTATGCTTGCTTAGAACTGCCTAATTTTGACCAAGTTGTAAGCATTTGAAATATATTTCCCCATACATATTCAGTAGAAAATACCTGATGGCTAAATCCTAACTCAGAAATAACATGCAGAAGAATTCTGCATAAGGCCAGTGGGGTTGATGGGGATTAAACCTGTATTGCTATTCTTGCACACTGTAATGCTGCCACTTGAACTGAACAGTAGACTCAGATATGCTGCATTCTCACAGCACCATCTGATTTGCTCACCATCTGTATACTGTGGAAAAATAATCTGTAACTAAAATATATATATTGCAATACACACGAGCAAAAATATCAAATTACTGTTAATTTGGAAATCCTGTTTCTGATCTTTTCTTCCTTCTTAGTGCCTTTATCAATTTGTGTCACTGTTTTGTGTATATGTTTTAAACGGGAACTTGTTGTTTTCCTTCTTGTCAGGGGCTATATTGATACCTAAACAATTCATTAGAAGTTTGAACCCTAGGATCTGTAGCACAGATACTTGCCATGTGAATTATCAGAGTAACTGCCTACAGGGTGAGCTTAGTACAGCAATAGTCAGTTGCACAGTTTGTCACTAGGATGCACCTTTTCCAGCAAGATTTCCAACTTGCATCAGGAAAGACTAAATTGAAAAAATATTTTTACTGTCATGTATCTGCATTCTCAGAGCCAAACCCTGGCTAGGCAGTTCAGAAAACGTACTGGTATTGTATGAGCCTTGTCCCAGTTTCCGTTGTACTCATTTCCTGTGTGTCAGCTGCTCTGTAGTTACTTGTGCTCAGAACTTTTCTGATAGTACATATGAAGTACTTCATCTCACTTTTACAGAAAGTTAGGAACCTTGAATATATTGCATGTCCTCATTGTAAACACCTGCATAGACATTTCAGGTTACTTCAAATAACTTGTAACCTGTTTAGGAGTAGGCACAGGTTTGTTTGAATGGGAGACTCTGCAGCTGCAACAGGACTGAGAACGTGGCTTACTGTTATTACATTTCTATGCAGAGTATCACAGCTGGAAAAAGACACATACACCATACAGTACCTGTGAAGTCAGCCTATGGGAGATGCAGATAACTCACATATGCACAGGGAATATGAGATGCAACGACAGTACGATGCATGAGCTGTGTATTTTATTTTATATGGCCACGTTCACTCTCTCCATCTAGTTGCCTTTTGTCCAGGACTTTCCAGATGTCTGCCATTCTGTCAGACTGCCAGTTGGCTGGCAGCACAGCTGTTTTCTTGGGCTGCAAGGTATCTAAACTCTTGCATGAATTAAGTGCACAGAGGAGGAAAGCAGCCCAAAATTCTTTTTAGTGCTTTTTATTTTCTATGGTAGATCTAGAAATGCTGTGTGTCTTCTGGCTTCCATATCTATTTCTCTGTCTGCTCCTCACTTCTTTGTGAGTTTTAAAATCTGTGTTCAGATCCGTGTGCTGCTGAAATTAAGAAAAAGGACTGAAAACATACCCTTATTTTTGCTTTCAGGTCTTTCAGTTTCTTTATATTTTCCATTTTTTTATGCTGTCTTTCTTTCCATTTTTGCAGACGTGGAGGAAAAAGACGGTCCAGAACATCACTCTCTTCTACTTGAATATAAACTACAACATCAGGACAAAGTCCTCGTTCTGACAAATACTGGACTTCATCTGAAGTACGAGGGAAACCATCCAGTATGAATCCTGTGGACCTAATTGGAAAATAAGATAGTTATCATTACACAATGTAGTTTAAAGCACAACACAGGGAAAATGCAGTTAATTTGAAAAAAAAACAAATAAAACCAAACAAAAAGCAACCCCAAAGCAACTCCCTTATTAAATGTATATACTAAAAGTAAACAGAAAAAGTACTTTCGGGTATGATCTTTTTACAGTGTAAAGAACTTGAAAAAGCCAAAATAAATTGTGTCCTCAGTATTGCTTGTGTGACTCTAGAAGCAGTACCTCTTAGGTGCTGCTTTTGAAAAAATAGAAGGTGCCCCAAAGATCATTTTGGTAACATCTGCTGCAGAAAGCTTGTTGCCTGAAAATTTGTTTTTCAGCAATGCCTGTCAATTTCTTCTCTAGCACAGGAGTTTTGCCCTGGCTTTTTTTGCCATTCAGCAGATTTTGCTGCTGAGCATGACCTATGTCTCCCTTCCTGCAGATATTAAAACCTGGTCAGGTATGTCTGTAAAGCTGTATGGCTTGTTGGAGCTCTTAAAATCTCAAATTAGATGAGTAATTCTATAATGCTGCAAGTTGTGTTAATATTTCTCTTATTACTTTTAAGAGAATGTTGTGCCCTATTTGTGGGCTGCAGGACAAAAGTTTACATGAGGATATTGTTTATTCTTTTTAAGGCATTTCTCATACTGTTAGGAATTGAAACTTAATGTTCAAACATTAAAAAAAAAAGAACCAAACCAGCTATGACTTGGATAGAAACGGATGGAAGAGATAGGACATGAAAAAAGAGATATTCCCTGCTGAAATTACATGCTTTCTAGGAGTTGATGGTCATACTTATCCATGCATCAATAATCCACATTTATCACAGTGTTACGCATGTACACTCTGATATGAAAATAAGTTTGTTGTGGATGCATCACTGTAGATTGTGATGAATGCACAAAATAACCTGATTCTGTTCTATTTTGGAGACCCTCAAAATTTGCTTTTGCTTTACACACAATATTTACAATGTATGTAAGCCATTTTTTACAGCTGGATTCCAGCTCTCCATGTTTATTAATTACATGAAAACACAAAAGGTTTGTTTACATATCTATCCTGTAAGCCCGTGGAAACTACCCAGCTGTTCAGGAGATTTAATCCAAATCAAGTGCACCAACTTTTTTTGTCCAGTCCTGTGTAGAGCACGTGAGACAACATATTACTGTCAAAATGCCAATCAAAACAGAACAATAGATCAAGACTGAGAGGTAGGTCATGATTCGTAAGAAGTACAAGAGCACTTGAATAATCTCTGCAATTTGTAATTGTGGTCACAATGAATGATATTTTCATAAGATTAATTAAAGAAAAAGAGAATATAATTACTTACCGGAATGGCTCTTTTTTCCACCAGTCAAGAACAATGTTATCAAGAACTTCTGGAGGCAGTGGGTCTTTATCCATCAGATTTGCTTTGATTGCCTCTTCCTCAGGAGTTAACTTCGCTTCCTTTAGATAAAGAAAATCCACAAAATAAAAAACAAAACAAAACAAAAAACACCAAAACCAGAAAGAAAGCAAGATCTACCTGACGTTTGTGGTTTGGTTTTGGTATTTGGTTGTTTTGTTTGTGGGTTTTTTTGCTAAGTAAAGTACTGTTTGAATTTGATTTAAAACAGCAGAAGCAAACTCATTTGCCACATTTCACTGCATTATAAATTTTGAGATATTTTCAAATGCTTGAGGTTGTATTTAGTTATGCATATGCTCAATAGCACAGAACTGAAATGATTGCACTTTCTCCTAATTGCCTACAAGAAGTTTTCCACTGAGTTATACATGTTCTCTTGCTGGAAAACTAACTGCACTACATCAAAATGGGGTTTTTTCACTTTTTAAAAAGCAACTTTTATCTTTTGATACAATCAGAAGATTTAAAGAAAGGTAAGGCTACTGGGGATAAGTATATGACCAGAAGTCAGATAAATAGCATTGTCCTACAGAGCAGTGGTAGTATTAGCAACTACTCAAATACAGAGCATTCAAATATCAAATCTAGTTGTTAAATTCTTGTGAAAACCTGATTTTTCAGAATATGTAGCTGTGAGATTCATATGGGTCAGGATGAACTTTTCATAGAGTGGCTTCCTGGCACAAACTGCAGTAAGAAAGAATGAAAAAGGATTGGTGATTCTGGATTAGTTTATATCTGTCACAGTAAGTCTATTGGATAAAAGACAGTATTAAAAGTGAGACACTATCACTGTTCCTGACCTGTTGCGTAATTTTTTCATGGTAACATTTGTAGAAGAAAATACTGTTATCTAGCTAGTTGATTTTTTCCCCCAGTAAAACAGAATGGCAAAGTTTGTACGAGAAAATGTATCTGGTATCCTTTAAAGAGTTCACTACTTTTTCTGCCATATGTTGTAAAGGTCTCATTTGGAAAAAAATCAAGAAGATGAGATATACACTACCAAAAGATTGTGTTGTTTAAATGTCAGTTGTGATCACACATGCACCTAAGTTGCATCCAGAGTCACTTGGAAAGAAATCTTGATATGCAGCTAGGTATTCTCCTGTATGTCTCAGCAAATGGATTTGTCCCCGACATTCTTTTGAGCATTTATTATGAAGTTCTGCTGTCCTTTCTCTATGTAGTACTCATATTAGCCCAAATTGCCCAAGAATTTGTTAGCATAACCTGTCAGAAAATAAAGGAATAACCCTTTTTAATAAAAAGATCCAAATGATCAAAAGATCCAAGGAACCCTCAAAGTGACTGTAGGGAACTGCTTGATGCAAGGACACGTCTGAGTAAGAATTCCTACGCTTGACATCTATTCTGCTAATGTAGCTAAAAGAACTTGAGAATATGCTGGAAGCCACGGATCTAATGTAGCATGTATATGAGTAGTATTTTGTCTAGTGCCTGACACAGCAAAATGTTAGTGGGCAGATACCTAAGTAGGCAAAGTGTTAGCCAGATCTGTAACACAGAGACATCTTGAAGGAAATGTGTGAAGTGGAAGAAAATAGTAAAAGCCGTATGTACCACTGACACTTCTCACAAGGGCAGATGAGCTCTTGAAATGGCATTTGTAGCTGATAAAAGAGAAGACACACAAGATGCATATTCCTGGTACAGGAAAGAGAACACCCCACACAGCGGTGGTTCAAAGAGCAAGGTTGCACTGCAGACCTGTCAGAGCTGTGAAGGTTTTGGTTGATACATACTAAAACAACCAGCATGATATCTTCTTGCTAAACTTCCCAGACTGCATGGTATGTTTTCTGTGCCTTTAGTATTTTTGCTTTGAATATTATAGGTGAAAAACTGGGTAGCTGGACAGTAGTAGTAGTTGTACTCAGAGAAATGCTTAGGGAGTCCGCAGCCTTGGGAATGATCCTCTGGAGTCCTGTGTGTAGACCAGTGAATGGGTTTCTAAATTCAAATTGCATTAGCTGTGCTTTGGTAGTGCCATCAGATAAAAGCACTTTACAAGAATTTTAAGAAAAAGATACTAGTGTAGAATAATATTTACCAGCAGATAAAAAGATGAGGAAAAAATACTAACAGAAAGGCCTTAATGTAAGACATGTATTGATGCCCAAAAACATAAAGTGCAGTGAGAGCCAGCCATAATCATCACTGCCAGGAACACTTGCCATATTTTTGGCAAAAGAACCTCCTCTTAGATTTAACTGATGAAAAGCTGAATTTTTGTGCTGACACCCAAGATTTTGCTCCATACTCCATCTGTATTGAAGCATTTGCTTCCAGTATTACCTGCTCTTGCATTAGTTCAGAAGGAATACTATCTTCCAGCTATCAGGGACCTACCCTGCTTTTCAAGACAATAGAGAGTGGCCTTGAATGCACCTTTGGCATCTTCCTCGGCACCTGTGAATGCATCCCATTGACTTGTATATGTCCAAATTACATAAACAAAAAATTTGATCCTATTTATATTCCTTCAAGTTAGTAGTCATCAAAGACATCCTACGTGGCAGGTATTAGGAGAAAAAAAGAGGGGGAAAAAGCCTCTTAGAATGTGGTGCAGAAACTTCTTTCTTCCTGAAGCTTTGCAAGTTGGAGAATCCCTTATTTGTATTGTTGAGGTAGATTTTCAATTGAAAGATCCATATGCTGTGTACCTGTGCTGAGAGTTCTCCAAACAATAACGGCTTTTATCACTTCCATTGCTATATAAAGACGAATTAATTTGCATTGAAACCTTGTCTGGTTTTCCCAATAAATCACTGTCTAATACAAGAAATCACTCTCTCCTGATAAACATTTATGTAAATGTTTATTGTTTAAGGAAATTATACCCTGTAAGAGACTGGGTTTAGAATGTATGTTTAGAACTATTTTGAACGAGCATTCAACCTAATTTTCTGAAAACTATTATTAGTCACTTAATCAGTATTATGAGTATCCAGGTATTGGAAAGAGTTTTTTCAACTACATGACATATTTTATGCTACCTAAGAGCTTTCTCTGGTTTGAAACTTTACAGTCAATGTGCAAAGACAACACTACAATCCAGATTACAGAACCTGCTGTATTAAAAATTACTATCTCACCCTGTTAGAAACACTGAAATGTTTACCTTCACATTATCATTATGACCTTCATTGGTTTTTGTTTTTTTAATCTCTATTTTTCTTCTTTTGCCCCATTTAGCACCTATCTGTACTATTTAGGAAAATCCCTATACATAAGTCTTGAAAATGCTTTGAAGTATGTTTGTGGCATTCATAAGAAAACATTGTCAAGAACTAGTATTTCAAAATTTTATCAAGTAAATAACATAAGTAATTTTTAATCAAACAAGAATTTTATAGGAAATTCCAATTGTGGCCTGAAAATGAATATTTTGTGTATGGACATAAAAAAGATCAGATCATTACCTGTTTGCTTTTTTTAGTTTTTTCAGTTTTAGTCATGGCCTGAGAAAAGTCTTCCAGTTCCTGTGATAGCATGAGCATTTTATTGTCATCTTCTTCAGGTTCTTCATCAAAATGGGGTCCAACTTTCTCTTTAGTTTTGGGTAGGATCAATTCCTGTAGATATTCTTCAAACTGAATATTGAAAATGCCCAATTTGTCTGCTACCTGTCGTGCACAAATAGTTTTACCTGCTCCATGAGCCCCAATTAAGCACACTCGTAATGGAGGAGCCTATAGGAAAAAATTGAAATATATTGTAACAATTTGGAGTGCACCCCCCACTGTTTTTCAATTTCAAAATGATCTTAAAAATTACATCAAAACCTGTCACACAATTTTGCATTTTATTTGTTCAAGGCTATTTATTGATGTTCCAAACAGATTTCCTGCTCCCTGGAAATACTGGACAAATACACTACGGCAGTCGATGCTAGTAGGTAAAAATGTAATTTCATTAGACAATTCTGATGACTCTTCCCTTCTTTAGCTTTCTTCCCCTTACAAAAAAGCCCCACCTGCCAAAAAAACTCCACTTAAAGATAGTAAACCCGCCCCATACCCCCAATATGTGTGAATTTAAAATCACATTTTAGGATTACTGTAAGCCTTTATAATCTTCCTGTCTTTTCTGCTTTATTTGCATTATTATTCAGTGTTTGAATTTACATGTACACTAAAAAGTCACTAAGGAAGTTGTATTTTTTTCAAGGACTTGCCTGATATTTTATTATTACCTAGAAAAAAAAACCCTCAACAATAACAAACCATTATAAATGAAAATGGAAGAAAGTGATTTTAATGTTATTATTTGCTTCAAGCAATTTTGAAAATTCTCACTTGTATTGGTTTATTGTGAGCCACATATTCCTCAGGGTTCTTCAGAAACTTATCTCTGCACTCTGGAGTTGAAAAGTAATAGATCTTTTCTTGATATTTAGCTGCCTGATCATAGAGTCCTGGGTAAAGCACAAAGTTCTCTTTCAGACTGACTGGACAGAAGTGTTTTGTGTCTCCCATGTGCCTTTTCTTTTCCTTAATTTGTTCTTCATCCTGAAAATATTATGAAATTAAAAAAACCCACAACTGTTTGAATTCAGTTCACTTAGGTTTTAGGTAGACCAGATTAAGCAATGTCAAATACATCAGCTGAGCATTGAATAAGAATCGTGTTCTCAAGGGAGTTTGTAAGTCTATGAACATAAGTCTATGAAAATACACACTATTTAGATTCAGAGTCAGAATACAAAAATGCCCAACCCAGGGAGAAAAGAATGACCTTTTTAAGTTTGAAATTGTAATATCATAGGTAGCTATTAAAGACCAAAATTAGGCTAGAACTATCTGTGATAAAAACTTTTCCTGCTGTGTTCTTGAAACTTTTCTGTTGCTGCTACACATGCATAAGTAGAACTCCTTAGAAAAGGCAGTGAGAGCTGGTATTGTGAAGACAGATGACTTATCCAATAAATTTAATTTCTAAAAAATCTGCTCAATACTGCTCCAGTACAATATACGGGTATGCTGTACTGTTAAATTTGGTGATGGGATTTTTCCAATATGGGATAAGAATGAAAGAAAGACAAAGCTAGAACTTTAACGTAATTAAAGTGGGTGTTGAAAAAGTATCAATAGCTGAGAGAAAACAGCGAATTGCACATTAGGACTCTGCTTCTGATGTTTATGTGATGTCTCACAGAACTGTTAGTTGACAGAAATCAAAGTTCACATCTGTTTCTCTAATAACCCCTCTCTTTGTCACCTGTACATTCATTCTCTCTGCTAGCATGGGTATTTATGATTCTTGCTGGAGTAAAACTTATCAGCCAGAACATAGAAATGCAAGGAAAGTGTTCTTGAAGCATACGACGATATTTATTCTGTAGGAAGGCTAAAACTAGTTCATAAAAAATCAAGTGCAAAAACTGACTTCTCTGAGATTATGCTGAAACTGGAAATAAATTAGTTAAAATAAAAGTATAAACAGACAAAGCCAGCATCCTTACTTCTTCATTCTCGTTTTCCCCTTCTTCAACTTCTTCGTCTTCACTTTCTGCAGCCAGATCTTCTGCTTCCTCATCTAAGTCTTCAGCAGATAATTCCCAACCATGATATTTAAAAGGTTCTGAAAAATGTTAATTTAATTTTTTTTTCTGTTTCAATATTTTTCGTTTGTCTATGCCAGAATATATTCTCTTTGTCCATAAAATAAGCAAATCATGCCAACTGTATATTGCATTTCTCCTACTCAGAGAACAAATTGTTCTCCCTGGATGTAGGAATCAATATGTTGCTTCCTCCAAAATGGAAATTCTACTGGTTGGTTTTGGTTGAAGTAAATTGGTATTTTCAATAGGAACTTATAGTACTGAAGTATTATACAAACACACACAGATAGTGCCATTACTGTTTGCAACAGGTTTTTTTTTTTTTATTTTGTTCATTGGGGAAAGTCCTCAGTCAAATTTTATTTGATTATAAAGCTAGCACAACAGATGTTTTGGTTAATAAAACACTTGCATTGTAGTAATGATAGAAAAAAGTAATATTATTTAGCCGGTACTCAAAAAGGTTAGAGATTTGAGAATACAGGTGAAGAAAGGTAACTGGCAAAAAAAAAAAAAAAGTATCAATACCATAAAAAATCCAGTCTTGAAACACAGTCTAGGCAGATGGGTAGATGAGATTACTGATGGGTAGATGAGATTATTGCATACCCCGAAAGCCTCATTGACTCAAACGAATACTGTACATTAATGAACCTTTGTTATCTGTTCATTTCTCAAACCGGTATCCTGACATAAACAGACACAAGAAGTAACTGGGAAACTGCATTGCCAGAATGTTTAGGGAGCTATACATACCTATGTGTAGAGTCACATATATATATTTTAAATATATATATTCACCACTTTCCCTATGTCTTAAAGGCTAGCTGTGTGCTTTTCAGCTCGCCCACATAACACAGCATGTCCTGTTTCCATTACATGTTAGTAATACAGAACTGAGTATAACCTACACCCAATATATTCATCATGCAAGCTCTCCAAAATCCCTCTTGTTAGGTGAAGTGTAAATCACATAAACGGTGTTACTTACTTTCCATAACCAGCACAGTTTGATTAAGCAGACTTTCTGGAGTTTGCTCAGCAATCTCTAAACCAGCAACCTGAATTAAAGATGACTGCTTGATCTCTGACTCCACTGTTTTCCAGTCATTCATGAAAAGGTCAATCTTCTTTCTAACTGTTTCCATTTCTGGCATATCTAGAAGATCATCCTCTGTAAACTCGGGTAGGATGATTTCTGAAAATCAAATGGTATATATGAGGCAATGCCGCATTATGCTTTAGGTTTATTGTTTTGTTCCTCAACCATGGTGGCTTTTTTTCTTTTTTTTTTAATGCTGCTTCCTTCCCTCCCCCATAATTATGAATCATATTACCAGTTTACAAAGATAATTAAAAAATGCCAAATTCATTATGTTGATGCAGTATATACAAGGTCAAATTACTTTTGCATATGGTTATTTAAATCACCACCCAAATAAATATGACTCTTCCTGCAAAGAAATAGAAGGAATATACATTGATTTAAAAATTAAAATTTAATCACAAACAGTTTCTGAGAGGGCATTATATGGTCATGCCTCATCTGGAATGTGCCAATACAGATAGAGTTGGAAAATTAACACACAGTGCAAAGAAGCAACTTCATGTTCTGACCTGGTTCAGGTTCGGTTACTGAAGCTGCTGTGGAGTGTTCAAGTTGCATGTTAGGTACCTAAGCACATATTTCAAATGCAGCATGTTCTCTTTACTTGAATAGAATAATACATACTACTAGGTATGTTTTCTCTTCAGCATAAGATCTCAATATACAGAATTAAACCTTCATTTACTCAAAGGCACACAGGTATGTAAGGGTCAACACGGCAAAATCGCAGAGAAAATACAAAATTTAGGAGAGAAAGGAAAAAGAAGGGATGAAACAAAGAAGACGGCTTCAGTGTAAATGTCAAGGATATGAAGGATAGTATCAAAGACTGAAGTTCTAAATTGATAAAGGCAAAGCAGTGAGCCAGAACACTAACTTATGCAATATAAGAGTTCTTACACAAATGAGAACTTATGCCTGAAAGAACCTCCCTGGGGCCCTGGTTAAAGACATCACTAGGAAACTTCCAAGCCAAGCCTCAGACTATTTCCTATTAATGCTCTTCCATATGGGTAGCAATGAAGCAGCAACACATAGTCCAAGGGTGACTTCAGGGCCTTGGGATGGGTGGTAAGGGAATTTGGAGCATCCTCTCTCCTTCCTGTTGCAGGCAGCAACATTGGAAGAAACAGATACACCCAGTCTATTAATACATGGTTCTGTGTCTGGTGTCACCACCACAGTTTTGGTTTTTTTGATAATGGGATGACCTACATGGCACCAGGCTTGCCGACATGAGATGGGATTCACCTTCCTCAAAAGGTGAAGAAGATCTTTGCTCATGACCTAGAAGGGCTTATTGCAGAACTTTAAACTAGCCTTGAAGGGGGAGTGGAATAATACCAGGCTTGCTTGTGACAAGGTATGGAATGATGCACCAAGGTTAGAGGGATGGGGCGCTAGTGGGGGCCCTCAGCCTATTGCTCTGAGATGTGCTGGCGACACTGGAGTACACTTGAAGTCTTACAGATATGGGCCAGCAGCTCCTGAGGTAATAGGAGCCAATAGGGAAACACCTGTGAAATACCTCAAAGGAATTAAGGGGTGTTCCTCTAAGAAGGTGACAAGGCTGACATCTATCAATGGCTATAAGCTGTTTAGAAGGGACAGGAGAGGAAGGAGGAGTAGACCATAAAAAAAATGGATAGAATGTGAAGAGCTGTGACAGGGCAAAGTGCAATGGTTTTAAACTAAAAAAGGGCAGATTTAGACTAGATATAAGGAAGACATTTTTTACAGTGAGGGTGGTGAAACACTGCAACAGTTTGGCCAGAAAGGTGGTAGATGCCTCATCCCTGAAAACATTCAAGGTAAGGTTGGACAGAGCTCTGGACTAGATGACCTTTGAAGGTCCCTTCCAACCCAAACTATTCTGAGCCTGTGACAGGTAGACAAAGATTATGATCTACATTTGAAAAGTGATCTGTGATGGGAATGTCTCAATTCCTGGATAACTGATGTTTCACCTTTGCAGAGATGCTGACAAACTTTTGTGAGTTATATGAAACAGAAACCATCGATGTTAAACAGCTTGAAATCTAGATCTATTTGTTCAGAGAACTGGAGTACTTCCATTTCACAACCAAGTCTGCAAAAGAACTGAAAAAGGGAATTCATTTCTTCTGACTTTCAAGCCTCACTTGTGTGATTTAACCACTAAACCAGGCCTCGTAAGAGTTATGACTGCACCTTTCCAATTGTGCGTTGTTATAAATGTACAGAAATTAATTTAGAGACATCAATTTGATGGATGGACGACTCGGTGGATAAAGAACTGGCTAGGTGGCCGCATGCAAAGAGTTGTGGTCAATGGCTCAATGTCTGGCTGGAGACCAGTAACGAGTGATGTCCCTCAGGGATCGGTGTTGGGACCGGTCTTGTTTAACATCTTCGTCGCTGACATGGACAGTGGGATTGAGTGCGCACTCAGCAAGTTTGCTGACAACACCAAGTTGTGTGGTTCGGTTGATACGCTGGAGGGAAGGAATGCCATCCAGAGGGACCTTGACACGCTTGTGAGCTGGGCTGATGCCAAACTCATGAAGTTTAACCATGACAAGTTCAAGGTCCTACACCTGGGTCGGAGCAATCCCAGACACAGCTACAGGCTGGGCAGAGAAGAGATTCAGAGCAGCCCTGCGGAGAAGGACTCTGGGGTCCTGGTCAATGAGAAAATGAACATGAGCTGGCTTCAGTGTGCACTTGCAGCCCAGAAAGCCAACCGTATCCTGGGCTGCATCAAAAGAAGTGTGACCAGCAGGTTGAAGGAGGTGATCCTGCCCCTCTACTCTGCTCTTGTGAGACCTCACTTGGAGTATTGTGTGCAGTTCTGGTGTCCTCATCTTAAAAAGGACATGGAACTGTTGGAACAAGTCCAGAGGAGGGCCACGAGGATGATCAGGGGACTGGAGCACCTCCCATATGAAGACAGGCTGAGAAAGTTGGGGCTGTTCAGCCTGGAGAAGAGAAGGCTGCGTGGAGACCTCATAGCAGCCTTCCAGTATCTGAAGGGGGCCTATAGGGATGCTGGGGAGGGACTCTTCATTAGGGACTGTAGTGATAGGACAAGAGGTAATGGGTTAAAACTTAAACAGGGGAAGTTTAGGCTGGACATAAGGAGGAAATTCTTTCCTGTTAGGGTGGTGAGGCACTGGAATAGGTTGCCCAGGGAGTTTGTGAATGCTTCATCCCTGGCAGTGTTCAAGGCCAGGTTGGACAAGGCCTTGGGTGACCTGGTTGAGTGTGAGGTGTCCCTGCCCATGGCAGAGGTGTTGGAACTTGATGATCTTAAGGTCCTTTCCAACCCTAACTATTCTATGATTCTATGATTCTATGAAGTGATCTGTTACATATTTAGAGAGAACTTGGTTATACATGTGTAATAAAAAATTAAAGTTTATAGCAGATAATAGCATAAATTATGCACTGCACCTGCCTTAAAATTATACTGCTATTCCCATTCCCTGCACGCATGTAATGTTCAATCCCGATTTTCTTATTTTTCTCATGATTTTTCTTTTGTGCTCTGTTTAATAATTGTGTATCAGTACTGTCAAACAGAAAAGCAGTTGAGAGCAGTAACTTAAATGGTCTGATATTACTGTAAGTTTGCTAGGACTCACAGTGTATGCTGTGTTTGTCTCTTACCAGAAAGAAAGCTGCAAGAAAGAGCTTGAAGAGCGGATAGAGTGATTTTCTACTTTGCTATAATTTCCCTCTCCTCTTGTTTCTGTCTTGTTTGGAATTTGAAAGAGCAGGAACAGATTTTGACACAAGCAACAACAGGTTCAGTCTAATCCAATGAACTTTTGCTGATTTTTACAAAAAAGGACCATTAGTACTCATTTTCCTTATATAATTTCCTACTCCAAAAAAGGAGAACCTTACATAATGCCTTGTGTGTTAAAAGCTTTGACCATTTTCTTAAAAATATAAACCCCCAAAACATTAAAAAACCCAGTGGTAAATGTCTACTCCCTGGCATTAAGCAGCTAATGCTCACTATGTGAAATTGCAGCACTGCAACATTCGAGTTTGCCTCAACCTGAAAAACCTAAACAAGTTTTCTGGCTCATGTTAGATTGCCTTGTTACAATTTATTTCTTTAAGAAAACTAGTATTTCCTCCCAGAGCTGAATGGCTCTCAGTCTTCTCGTGTATTGTTGAAGAAATACACAAATGCCACACTTAAATTCCCAAAACAGAGCCAGATCAAAAAGTGCTAGTAGCAAGTACAGCGTAGCTGGATTTCAGTGATTAGGTACCAGTCAGATTTGGCAGGTCTCAGCGTAATGGTCAGAGTAGAAATGCTGCCTAACTTTTGTCTAACATGCTACCAACTAAAGCATTGCCTGGAAGCGTCAATAGCAGCTTGGCTATGTGAGCACCTGCAGGACAAGGAACACATCTAGGAAGTTTTTATGACTTGGATGGCTGAGCTACCTATGAAGCTTCTATATCAAAGGTCAGCGACACTACTGTCTTCTAGAAGAAAGCAAGCCCCTGCCCTGCCTCCAGTTAGTTAATTGCCAAAGACCTAGAGTTCTTTTGCCCTTGGCCAAATTTAGAAATGTGAAGGGTTTCAAATACATGCCCTCCTCTTAACATTTCTTCACGGCTCACTAAGGTTGGCCCTTTGCTAGTTTGCTACTTGTTGTGCCTATTTCTACAACTCTTAATTGCATATATGAAGCCAGGCACTTTAAAGTTAGCATAGCAGTTTTGGGGCCTGAAATGTCTACATCTCCTTTTGAGTCTGGGTCTTAATGTGTAGTCCTCTAGAAATACAGGACATTTCTAGATATTTAAATGTACTTAAGAATTTTATTCTTCCACTTAAGAGGCTGAAACTCTATTCTCTCAATAACTCCATTTACCTCTATGTATGTGATAAACTGAGATTTGAAATAAATCAGGCATTCTATGGCAGCTGATATGCTGGCTTAGGGACCTGAAGATTCCCCTGGGCCTGGCTGTCACTGCTCAGGCCCCTGGGGCTCCCCCCACCCACCCACAGCCCAAGACCCCATGTCAGCCCCCAGGGCTGTCAGCTCCTGCCTCAGCAATGCTGCATCAGGGCTGATCTCCAG